CACAGTCCGAAACCTAATCACCCCGGGGGCCTTACAGAAGAGGTAGACCTAGAAGCAGGTACAGACACACCACAGCTAGATGACACTGCTATATAAGGAGCAGTGACTGGCAGACTAGGAGTAACAGCCTGAGGACCAACAACAGGGGTTGTAACTGGTCCAAAATTACTACAATAAGGCCAGAAACCTGAAAAAGCATGACCAAGAAAAGCCTGACCAGGAAAACCTGAATATGGATATACCTGAGGCCAGAAAGGTTTAAACCATGACATCGAATTATTAGTCGAGGCAGGCAAAGTAAAACCACAGTATGAAGCTGGAGGTCTGGAACCAGGTAAACATTACCCCATAGAGATATCAGGGTAAGGAGAAACTAAACCGTTGGTATCAACTAGCCTAGAGACTGTGTGGGTAACAGAGGTAATGGTAGGGATACCTCCCTCATAACAGACAGAACCTGCATATAGGGTCTGTTGATCGGTATTATCAGTCACTGAAGTTAAAACATCGGTTGACTGACTATAAGTATAAAGAGGTACTACCTGACTTACCATTGTCGTAGCCATAGGGAAAGGTAATGACCCATTTAAAAAAACATCATTGCCTGTAATGGCTTCGAACAGACAAAAAGCATTTAACTCCATAATTCATGAATTCCGAAGTTAAATACTAATTGTACACAATATTATAATAATAAACAATAATAAAGGGTATCAAATACCTAGAAATTTCACTCTCAACAAAAAAAAACCCAAAAAAATCTGTGTATGAAAAAATTAACATGTGTGTCTTGTTGTGTGCAGGCGGAAATAACATGGTAATCTAAAATTTTACATATGTGGAACCTATTACTGTGTTTGTAGAAACATTTTACTAATGGTTTACATATTTTCCTCTGTCAAATTGCCCTTAAAACCATTAAAATAAAAGTAACACTTAATCAATTGTATCATTTGAGGTGTTTTTTCTGAATTTACTTTCATCAAGAATGCTGAGTCAAGGATTTATAAGAACCGAAACAAGTGAAGAGTCATATGACCAAAAGGGACCTAAAATAATATATAGGTCAACTATGCATGAGGGAGTTGGAACTTTAGTTTCTTAATAATTTCAGACGTTAAGCAACCAACAATCAATCAATCAATCAATCTTAATAATTTCTTAAAATTACTCCAAAACATACATAGCAGTAATGAGAAAAATTTCAAAGAATATCACTTCGTTCCATACTAGAGGCTGTTGTTTTATCCCTGTGATAGTTAAAAGCAGCTCATAGCAACTGTCAAGACAGAGCAGCACTAAAAGTGCTCTTTCATTTGGTTATTTATTTCTCAGTATTTCATACAGTTGTACCCTGCATATTAAATCTTAATTTATAAGTCACCATATGACCAACAGCAAAATGCATCAAACATAATGCCCTAATGACAACACACATCATAATTCATCATTAATAGTTTTATTAGATATGAATATTTTCATACAAAATGAAATAAAGCATTTTTTGTGTATTTTAAATATGATAAAATTAATAAAAGCATGATATTAATATTATTTCTTAAAACACAAACACACAGCACTTCTTTGAAAGTAATTGTAAGTATATCATATATAGGAATTTTTAGTGTGTATTTCTTCTATCCTCCTTAAAATCTTATATATTATTTATTTTTCTATGTTCAAATAAAATACCGTATATTTTTTGTATATTTACCAGATCAATTTTCTTAAGTTAATAATTAAAAAAATATCAATATAATTTTTTTTTCATCTGATCACAACAAATTTTATGGTTATATGATTTTCTCAAGTTAACAAGTTGAACTGTGAGCTATTGCTCACTAAATGATATTCCAGCTATAAGTAATCAGTAAACAGGAAGTTGATGTGTGATGGATGTGAAAAAGCTTCACACAGTTAAGCATGCTCACATGAAGCTTGGTTCCAAATTTCAGAAAGCCCTGATTTGTAGTTCCTGAGAAAAATGTGAAGAAAATTTCATACATGGCCAATATCTGAAATAATATATATGTATTTGGTGAACAGGAAGTTGATGAGCAATGAATCTGAAAATGCATCACACTGAAAAACATGCTCAAAGGAAGCTGGACTAAGTTTTAGGATTTGTACTTTCTGATAAAAATGTGACAAAATTTTAGGGGACGGATTAACAGGAAAACTATCAGACATAAGCAAGTTGACATGGTGGTATAATAAAGGACAAATGAAATAAGTATCAATTTGTTAAATAAACTATATTTGATATACAGCTTTTTCAATGCATATGTGTAAATTGGCGTTGCTGTCAAACAACACTGGTAAATAATTCAGCATATGTGTAAATTGGCGTTGCTGTTAAACAACACTGGTAAATAATTCATAGAGAATTGAGAGACATTCTAGTTAGACTGGAATTCTAAATAGTTAACTATTCCAAAAATAAGTTTGGAGATGAGACAGATTAATAAATTAAGACCGTTTTTCTTACAATGATCCTTTTAAAGTTGTTTTCATTTAGAGCTATTTAAAAAGCTGTCAGATGGAAATCTGTCTTAGGTAAAGTATCCAAAATCAAACATTTTTACAGTTAATACAGACATGGTTTATGGTGTAAGACTTTTTCATAATTACAGGATAATTTCTGTATAAAATCTATATAAAATATGAAGAAAAAATATTATTTCATTTTCCTGCTATAAATGTTCTCAAAGGGCTGATATATAAACATACATGGGACACTCTTTGAAAGCTCAACTACAGTTTGTTGGCAAAAACTTTTTTGTAAAGTGTAAGTGAATTTTAAAATTAGCTCTTTAGGTGGTACCCATGTTGAAAGTACAATTTCTGTATACCATGTATGTTTAAATGATACAGCCCTTAATATAAGTTTTTTGCTTCTTAGAAATAAACTGTATACATTTGTTTATCACTTTAACACAAAATGTTCATGCAGATAATCAACTTCCAATAAAAGTACAATCCAGTACCAATCCATACAGCTAACATGTAAAACAAACATTATTGCAATATTAATCTAATGTACAATATTTCAAATCTATTAAACTAATCATCTGGCAAGCCTCTATTGAAGTATGATTTATAAAAAGTGTTGTTGAAAAAAAAGATTATTTTAATTCATAAACAAACATATCAACTACAAAATATTAGCTAGACATAAATTTTATTTTAAATAAATCTGAAGCATAGTCATAGTTACATAAAAAATACAGAGAAGAAAAGATAAAGTTCCACTATTTAAAGAAAAAAAAAAAGTTTTTTTCTATGCCTATTAAATATATAAAGCAGATAGAAGATAATTATATGTTATAGAAAATATATGAAAAGATGCCCAGTCTTTAAATATGAGCAAACTATAACCATAAATAAAATTTTATACACATGTATTCAAAATAATTGAACAAGAGGAAAAGTTGTATCACAGAACTTTTCAAGCAATTTGTAAGACATATATCATATAAAACGTGAAATATCAGTAAATGAGAGATACCACAGACTTTTGCAAGATTAAGCATGCAAATTGGACATGTTGGTAATCAACTGAAAATTAAACAACTTTAAATATTTTAAATGCTTAAATATGATTGAATGAAGATTCTTAAATTTCTGGATAAAAAAATATCTCTTGATTGTTGAAATAAACTTAACACTGAAGTCATAATAGTCATACTATGTACACAGTAATAACATTAAATAGTTAATACATAAAAAACTAATTATGTGACATTTGTAAGTTTTGAAGAAATAACACTTTAAAATCAACCAATTTTTTTTTTCATTTACAAGGTATTTTTATACATGCAGTCTATTCAAATGTGCCTCTTATTCAACAGCATTCATTTAATAGTATTTTAGAAAAGAAAAAAGTAAAATATTATTTTTATTCTTGATCCCTTTTCAACATGCCAACATTGGATGTGAATTCTTATAATACTATGTGACATCATCTATTTCCTGTATAATACACAGGGTAAATACCAGTTAGACTTTTTAAGACAGAAATGTTTTGGTTCCTTCTTTCATTATACTACTTGAAGCACAGTGACAAATTTTGTGAAAAAAAGATTATAACCACTTCTCCATTTTAGTTGTATTTGAGATCAACAGATGCAACAAAAGTTTGACCGTGGGAACCTTAAAAAAATATCCAAACAAGTACAGTGCATAATAAAAAAAACAAAACATGCAAAAGTCAATCACAGATATATATATATATATATATACAAATATACAACACTTTTCACTACTTATTCTCTTTTAGTAAATTAAAATGTTGTCTCACATCTTTTGTTGTCGAAAATGTATAAAAATGATGCAAAAGCTAGAAAATAAAGAGCCGTTGTCACTCACCTTGGTCTATGTGTATATTCAACAAAGGACACTCTCCAGCATTGTAAGACGAGAATAGAATTCATGACAAAAATCTCTGTTTTGTTGATCTTGTATTGCTGATCATTTAAACTGTTTAGTTTCTCTCTATCTTCTTTAGTTGTTGCTCAAAACACAAAAGAGGGTAAAAAAAATCCTTATTTTAGGGCAATCACTCCTATAAAGAGTGACAGTCTACTAACTATATCGGCAAAATTTGACTTGTTAGTAGATAACTTGCTGATCATTTTTGTGATTTAAAGGGACTATTTATCTATTATAATTTTTATCATATAAGGCAAAACGCAAAAAAAAAAGTAGTGAAAATAGTCACTAAATGGCAACAACTCGAATAAGGAGTTGTCGGATGATTTCCACAATATAATATTAATTGTAGATCTTGTTTTGCTTATGTAAGTTTTTATCTATCTATTATAATCTTTAAGATGTAGGGCAAAAACGCAAAAAATTGGTAAAAATTGTCATCAAAGGGCAATAACTCTAACAAGGAGTCAACTGACGATTTCGACAATGTTAGACTTATTGGTAGAATTTGTCTTGCTGATCGTTTTTGCAGTTTAAAGTTTCTCTCTATCTAGTTTAGTTTTCAAGATTGAAAAAAAAGATAAAATTTGTCATTTTAGGGCAATAACTCCTATAAGAAGTTGTCAGACAGTTTTGACGTATATGGACTATTGGTAGAGCTCAACATTCTGAACATTATTGCTCTATCAGATTTTCTCTATTTATATCAGTTTTCAAAATAATAGACAAAACTTGCATTTTACCCCTATGTTCTATTCTTAGCTATGTCAGCCATCTTGGTTGGTAGGCGGGGTCATCTGACACATTTTTTAAACTAGTTCCCCAAATGATGATTGTGGCCAAGTTTGGTTAAATTTGGCTCAGAAGTTTCAGTGGAGAAGATTTTTGTAAAAGTAAACGACGCCAAGTGATGAGAAAAGCTCACTTGGCCCTTTGGCCAATGGCCCAGGTGAGCTAAAAACTTGCAAAAATGAAAATAACTTGAATTACATGTAAAAGATAAACAAAATGGCATATAATTAACAAAAGTAACTATCAAATTAAAGAAAAAAAACTATTACTTTCAAAGCACATATTTATTTGTAAATTTATAAATAACTGGAGTATTGCTTTAATTATTGTTTAAGATGATATAAAACTGGTAAATCTTTATAAATTAATTTTTATTGATGTCTAGTCATCATCAGTAATATATCATACAGTTAATAAAACTCATAAAATATGTTAAATAAAAATTCAAATTATATATTTCATTGAGTGTATTTAATACCCTGAATAATTAATTAAATTATGGATACATATCAAATGGGGAAAATTAATAAAAAAAAAAAAAAAATATGGAGATAAATGAGCAAATACTTTAAAAAAAACAATCTTGTTTTATGAAAAAACATCATGCTAAATAAATGAAAAATTGATTATAAGATGCAGGATGTAAAAAGTGCAAAAAATTAAATATACAAATGCATAACAAGTCATAATGAAAGCCCTTCATATATGTCCCTCATTATGAGATCATTAAAAAACTTCTTTCTTATAGAACACATTCATTACTGAATACTAAATGTTTATACAAGACCACTTAGGTGGAGGGATCAGTAAAAATTAGTCTTTATAATCTCAAGTTTCTCAGTTTTCAACTCTGTACATCATGTTTCGCTTGAAGTTGTACTGTGACTTCTGGTATGTCTGCTCTCACCAAAACCACGTACAGAGTACTAAAAAAATACATGATGAATATGTAAATTCAATTAACACAGATATTTCATTAATCTATATTAATCTGTGAAATGAGCTGTTGCTAATATTATATTACTAATAAATACTTCATTATTCACTGTGAAATAAATCCTATATTTAATTGGGTGAAAACACAGGATTTATTAGTTCTCTCTCTGTGGCAATGAATTGACTAGCCTATATCAAATGTATCACAATAGTAGAACACCAAGAGACAGAAATATTAAATGAGTCCTCCCTTTATTCCTCCTGAATTTCTTTTATAATTTCATTAGAATAATGTAAAATTCAAATGAACTGCAGTGTTCTCCCCAGATATTTCATTTAGCATCCTGGTAAACAGGGGAAATTGAAATACCATCTTGTTTCTAAAAATTAAAGCATCACATCCATAACATAATCTATAAGAAAACCACATCAGATAGCATCACATTTAAGATTATAGCATCACATTACCATGATGGCACTGGGGAGAACACTGGAACTTCTTTCAATTAGAATAAAAAAAGTATTCATCTAAAGATGAAACAACTCAGATAATTCTCTAATGCTCTTTGAATTCTTGAAAGAATGTGTTGTTTGATTAATTGGTCTTCTTTTTCTATAGCTGAATTTTACAAGTATTTTTTTTCTTTTTTAAATCAATATATGTACTTTCATCAGAAATTATTTTGGCTTCAAATAAAATTTGTGAAACACATTAGAATATACATAAACTACACTATACTATAAACCAGGGCTTCCAAAAAAATATTCAAGAAGCCAGACATTTTTTATTTCAATCTAATTTTTAAAATTGGCTTTTGTAATTAAAAGCAATTGGTCAGTACACCTGAAATGGAAACTTTATTTGGATGTTCCTTTCGTTTACTGACAGTAACTGGTACATATATTAATGGGTTTAGTTAGCTAACCGTGATAGTTGAAGTACAGATCGTGAAGGGAATAAGAGAATGATATACTCTTTATTAATGCAAAACAGTTTCCTAGCACATGTTTTCCTATTTCCGAATGTTAAGTTGAGAGCTTAAAGTTTTGAACAGAGACTGAATTTATATATCTGTCAAACACTCAAAGCTTTGTACCTTTTCATGTTTCTTTAAATAAAGACTTGAGAGAAACATTCAAGAAGTTATGCAACTAATTTATCAATTTTGAAAAACTTGAGCCTGTGTTTTGAGATAAACTTACAGCAGGTGGTGGTGAGTCTAGAGGTGGTCCTCCTGTCATATTGATTGCATCACTGCTGAAACAAAAAAATGGAATTTGTTCAAATACATGTATGTAAACAATTATTAATTCATTTATACTTTTTAATTAACAACAAAAATCAAAGAAAATATGTACTAGAAGTAAATAAAATGCTCCGCAGGGCGCAGCTTGATACGACCGCAGAGGTCGAACCCTGAACAGTTGGGGCAAGTATGGACACAACATTCAAGCTTGATACAGCTTTGCATTTGGATTGTGATTAAATATTTGACACAGCATAGGTTTCTGACACAGAATGAATGTGGTCTAAGAACTTAAAAATTTTAAATTGGACATTCACCTATTATGGTCCAATTTCCAAAATCTAAATACATGGTTAGATTCAGCATATCAAAGAACCCCAAGAATTCAATTTTTGATGAAATCAAACAAAGTTTAATTTTGGACCCTTTGGACCTTAATGTAGACCAATTTGAAAACGGAACCAAAAATTAAGAATCTAAATACATGGTTAGATTCAGCATATCAAAGAACCCCAATAATTCAATTTTTGATGAAATCAAACAAAGTTTAATTTTGGACCCTTTGGACCTCAATTTGGACCAATTAAAAAAACGGGGCCCAAAATCCAAAAACTAAATACACGGTTAGATTCAGCATATTAAAGAAACCCAAGAATTCAAGAATAAAACCCCATTGAAATTGGTCAAGAAATAAGCAATTTATACGAAGTATCTTCTTTTGCACAATACTGTGCAATTAAATATTTCTTGCTATTGCGCAATACTGTACAATTGACAATTTCTTGCTATTGCGCAATATTGTGCTATTGGATATTTCTTGCTATTGCGCAATACTGTGCAATTGAAGATTTCTTGCTATTGCGCAATACTGTGCAATTGAAGATTTCTTGCTATTGTGCAATACTGCGCAATTGAAAATTTCTTGCTATTGCACAATACTTATTATATAATAATTTACACATCCTGTTTGGTGTGTATCTCCTACCATATCATTATTATTTGCTTTTAAATATAAATCAGAAATAACCAACTTAAAATGGAAAATTTTAAAAGAAAAAAAAAATGAAAAAAAAAAAAATCCCCCCCCCACAAATATTTTGAACCCCCTTATGATTCATCACCCCCAAACTCAATCCCAGCCTTCCCTTTGTGGAATGGTACCTTGCAGTACAATTTCAGAGAGATCCATACACTTGAACACAAGTTATTGTCTGGAAACTAGAAACATGTGTTTTTTGGCCCCTTTTTGGCCCCAAATTCCTAAACGTTTAGGGCAATTACCCCCAAACTCAAACCCAGCTTTCCCTTTGTGATATGGAACCTTGTAGTACAATTTCAGAAAGATCCATACACTTACACACAAGTTATTGTCCTGAAACTAGAAAAATGCTTGTTTTTTGCCCCTTTTTGGCCCCTAATTCCTAAAATATTGAGGCAATTACCCCCATCATCAATCCCAGCCTTCTCTTTGTGGTATGGTACCTCGCAGTACAATTTCAGAGAGATCCATACACTTGAACACAAGTTATTGTCTGGAAACTAGAAAAATGCTTATTTTTGGCCCCTTTTTGGCCCCCAATTCCTAAATGTTTCGGCAATTACCCCCAAACTCAATTCCAGCTTTCCCTTTGTGATATGGAACCTTGTAGTACAATTTCAGAAAGATCCATACACTTACACACAAGTTATTGTCATGAAACTAGAAAAATGCTTGTTTTTTGCCCCTTTTTTGGCCCCTAATTCCTAAAATTTTGAGACAATTACCCCCAAAATCAATCCCAGCATTCCTTTTGTGATATGGAACCTTGTGGTACAATGTCAGAGAGATCCATACACTAACACACAAGTTATGTCTGGAAGTTACAAAAATGCTTATTTTTGGCCCTTTTTTGGCCCCTAATTCCTTTACTGTTGGTACCATAACCCCCAAAAACAATCCCAACCTTCCTTTTGTGGTATTGAACCTTGTGGTAAAATTTCATAGAGATCCTTTCACTTAAACTAAAGTTAGAGTGCGAAAACCAATGTGTCTTCGGACGACGCCGGACGACGCCAGACGACGACGACGACGACGACGCCGGACGACGACGACGCCAACGTCATACCAATATACGACCACAAAAATTTTTTTGCGGTCGTATAATAATAATAACAATTCAGATGGAAAACAGGAAATTTAAAATTAAGAATGTTGATGTAATTAAATTCTGTTCAAACTACGAATTCTAAATTTTTCATACTTTAGAGTTAAGGTGCCCTGAGAGGAGAAGGGTCATTAATGAGCTCCATAATTTTCAAACAGTGTTATTGTACCACAAATGTCTCATCTTAGATTTGATTATAAAAACAGTATATGTTAACAAATGTACTAAAAATAATCTCTATCTGTCTATCTATGTAGTAATCCATCTATCAAGCAATTGCTTTATGTATGGGTTTGATTGTAACAGTATCAAAGAATACAAGAATGTCTTTCATGGCTATTCAGGATAAACCAATAAAGACTATAGTGTACTCAGATGAAGCTTGATATCAAATATAAACGAGTTATAATTTGTAGTTTCTGTAAAAAAAAAAAATGCGCTCCGCCTGCAGCAGCTGGATACGACCGCAAAGGTAGAACTCTGAACAGTTGGGGCAAGTATGGACACAATATTCAAGCTTGATACAGCTCTGAATTTGGATAGTGATTAAATATTGGACACATTATAGATTTCTAACACAGAATAAATGTGGTCAGATAACTTAAAAATTTGAAATGGGACATTTAATCTACTTAATGGTGTAATATCCAAAATCTAATTCCATGGTTAGATTCAGCATATATAAAAAAAAAATTCAAACAAAGTTTAATTTTGGACCCTTTGGACCTTAATATGGACTAATTTGAAAACAGGGCCCAAATTAAAAATCTGAATGCACAGTTAGATTCAGCATATCATAGAACCACAAGAATTCAGTTTTTGATGAAATCAAACAAAGTCTAATAATTTTGGACCCTTTGGACCTCAATGTAGACCTATTTAAAAATGTCCAAATATCCAATATAGTAATACATGGTAAAAACCTTAAACAATACAAGACTTAAGATTAATCCTCATTGAAATTGGTTAAAAGATTTGTATTTATTTTCAATTGAAGATTTCTTGCTGTTGTGCAATACTTAGTAAATCTGTTTACAAACTAAATATAACAATTTACACACCCTGTTTAGTGTGCATCTCCTGCCATATCAGTATTTGTTGTTTCTTCATATAGATCAGAAATAATTTATGTTAGAACCAGCTTAGCCAGTATTAGAAAAGTCTTGTTTTTGGCCTCTAGTTTCTTAACGATTAAAGCCACAACCTCCAAAGTCAATCCCAACCTTCCCTTTGTGGTATGGAACCTTGTGGTACAATTTCATAGAGATCCATACAATTATACACAAGTTATTGTACAGAAACTAGAAAAATGCCTTTTTTGGCCACTTTTTGACCCCTATTTCCTAAACAGTTGGGACCATAACCCCCAAAATCAATCCCAACCTTCCTTTAGTGCGATTGAACCTTGGGTTAAATTTCAAAGAGATCCATTCACTTATACTAAAGTAATTGTCCGGAAACCAAATGTCTTCCGGTCGTATAAAACCACCAAAACTTGTGTGATAGACTATTAAATGAACAGACATTGGTTTATTAATAAACACACCATTTTTATTAATACTCATCAATCAAAAGACAATTCATTAGCCAAATTATAGCCAGAACAGTCAATTGGCCAGATTATGCAGCTCATGATCAACATTTCTCCATAAATAAATTATCATCCAGACCAACATCCAAAACAGATAACTTTAAAAAATGTTTGTACGATTATATTTTGACAGAAGAAGTTTTATGGGTTTTAAGTTGTCAGTTAAATTGACTGGACCAGAATATTACTAAAATAAATGAAAAATGTGTCCATGGGACACAGATGACCCCACTTGAAAATATACGACGAATTCTGCAATTTTTCAATTTACAATGGGAAATAACTCAAGAACGGCAAAATTGACGCTACCCAAATTTGTACTTGATCTGTGTTTGGTGGTAATAAGCATTGTGTATGAGTTTTATAACATTTGGTTGAGGTTAACTTAAGTTAGAGAATGGGAACTTATTTTGGGATGTATGAATGGACGGACGCCGAAGGATGGACGGACAAGGGTAAAACTTAATGCCCCCTTCGCTACGACGGGGGCATAAAAAGTAAATTTACTATTTCTTATCTCTTTCCAAAATACAAATTAAAGAGAAGAAATAAATTACTTTGAAGGTCCAAGTGGAGAGCCTATACCATACAATGATCCGTAGTCCTGATATGGAGGTGGCCTTGGTACAAATGGGTCTGTATCATCCACTGGTCTGTATCCAGTTCCTCTTCTACAATACATAATATATCATTTACTTTCCTATCCTTTTTTTTTACTTTTCTTTCTTTTTTGTATTCTGTTAAATTGATTTTAATCAACATTTGGAAACGAAAAGATCTAAGGTGGATAGTTGCATATGAGAATCCAATCAAGTAAAAAAAAGTAAAAGTGTACAATAATAACAATCTCATGTATAAAACAAATTAATGTAATTCTGGGAAATATACAAAATATTCACAGAAAACCTAAAGAAGTTTATCACTTTCTTCCATCAACACAAGATTTTTTTTTCCTTCACTTCTTATAATCTTTCGTTTGACTTGACCTAAGAAAACCTCAACAGTAAGTATTGTAGGAATAATTTTAAATCCAGAGTCTACATGTATTTTGTAGTGTCCTAATATTTTGACTAAATATGTCCATAGTGCCTAAAAATCATCATTATAAAGCACTGTTCATTTTATCTATAATATGGAACCCATTTAGACAGCTCCACTGTGAAGATATTGTTTCTTTAAGAGAATAATGACAGATTCCTTTGACTGCAATCTTGACATTCCAGAATGATCAAGCCTCAATTGTTTACATGAAAGATGGACATAATTGATTCTGCAAAATGAGTGTTTTTATGAAATATATGAATAGACGATACATTGTTGTTTCATTGGTCAATATTTGCTGATTGATACATAACATTATGTAATAAAATGCTCCGCTGGGCGCAGCTTGATACGACCGCAGAGGTCGAACCCTGAACAGTTGGGGCAAGTATGGACACAACATTCAAGCTTGATACAGCACTGAATTTGGATTGTGAAAAATATTTGACACAGCATAGGTTTCTGACACAGAATGAATGTGGTCTAAGAACTTAAAAATTTTTAATTTACCTATTCAAACCATATCATTATTATTTGCTTTTATATAAAAATCAGAAATAACCAATTTAAAATGGAAAATTTTAAAGAAAAAAAAGGGGGAAAAAATCCCCCCTCAAATTTTTTGAACCCCCTTATGATTCATCTCCCCCAAACTCAATCCCAGCCTTCCCTTTGTGTTACAATGTATGGTGCCTTGCAGTACAATTTCAGAGAGATCCCTACACTTGAACACAAGTTATTGTCTGGAAACTAGAAAAATGCTTGTTTTTTTCCCCTTTTTGGCCCCAAATTCCTAAAATTTTGAGGCAATTACCCCCAAAAATCAATCCCAGCCTTCCCTTTGTGGTATGGTACCTTGCAGTACAATTTCAGAGAGATCCATACACTTGAACACAAGTTATTGTCTGGAAACTAGAAAAATGCTTATTTTTGGCCCCTTTTGGCCCCTTATTCCTAAACGTTTTGGGCAATTACCCCCAAACTCAATTCCAGTTTCCCCTTTGTGATATGGAACCTTGTAGTACAATTTCAGAAAGATCCATACACTTACACACAAGTTATTGTCATGAAACTAGAAAAATGCTTGTTTTTTGCCCCTTTTTTTGCCCCTTATTCCTCAAATTTTGAGGCAATTACCCCAAAATCAATCCCAGCATTCCCTTTGCGATATGGAACCTTGTGGTACAATGTCAGAGAGATCCATACACTAACACACAAGTTATGTCTGGAAGTTACAAAAATGCTTATTTTTGGCCCCTTTTTGGCCCCTAATTCCTTAACTGTTGGTACCATAACCCCCAAAATCAATCCCAACCTTCCTTTTGTGGTATTGAACCTTGTGGTAAAGTTAGAGTGCGAAAACCAATGTGTCTTCGAACACCGACGAAGACGACGACAGCGACACCAACGTCATACCAATATATGACCATAAAAATTTTTTTGCGGTCGTATAAAAAATTAATAGGAGCAAATCAGCCATAAAACAAGAGGCTCCTAAGTGCCTGAATCGTTCACCTGTGAAAATATACCATTTTGATATTTATTTTTTATCTTCATTGCTATCAGTTTTGTTTGTTAATTTGTAGATATTATTTAGTGACATTTTTGTAGATCTTGTATTGATGATCCTTTTTATCTACAGTTTCTATCTATCTATAATAATTTTGAAAATTATTAAGAGAAATTATCAAATCAGTACAAATATCTTTATTTAAGGACAATAACTCCCTGGAGTCATCAAATGGTTACAGTCATATAGGTACTTTGTAGATCTTGTATTTGTAATCATTTTAGCAGTTGACAGGTCTTCCTACTGATTATAGTTTTCAAGATAATTGCCGAAAAAACACGAGTATTAGCATCTGATGTCATTTAAGAACAAGAACTAAAGAAGCCATCCAATGGTTTTAAACATATGACATTTTTCTATCTTTTGTATTACTGATCCTATTTGCTGTTGATCTATCTATTAAAGATTTCAAGATAACTGACAAAAAAACAATAAAATGCTCCGCAGGGCGCAGCTTGATACGACCGCAGAGGTCGAACCCTGAACAGTTGGGGCAAGTATGGACACAACATTCAAGCTTGATACAGCTTTGCATTTGGATTGTGATTAAATATTTGACACAGCATAGGTTTCTGACACAGAATGAATGTGGTCTAAGAACTTAAAAATTTTAAATTGGACATTCACCTATTATGGTCCAATATCCAAAATCTAAATACATGGTTAGATTCAGCATATCAAAGAACCCCAAGAATTCAATTTTTGATGAAATCAAACAAAGTTTAATTTTGGACCCTTTTGACCTCAATGTGGACAAAGTTGACAACGGGGCCCAAAAATCAAAAATCCAAATACATGGTTAGATTCAGCATATCAAAGAACCCCATATATTCAATTTTTGTTGAAATCAAACAAAGTTTAATTTTGGACCCCGATTTGGACCAACTTGAAAACTGGGCTCATAATCAAAAATCTAAATACATGTTTAGATTCAGCATATCAAAGAACCCTAAGAATTCAATTTTTGTTAAAATCAAACTAAGTTTAATTTTGGACCCTTTGGACCTTAATGTAGACCAATTTGAAAACGGAACCAAAAATTAAGAATCTAAATACACGGTTAGATTTGGCATATCAAAGAACCCCAATAATTCAATTTTTGATGAAATCAAACAAAGTTTAATTTTGGACCCTTTGGACCTCAATGTGGACCAATTTAAAAAAGGGGCCCAAAATCCAAAAACTAAATACACGGTATGATTCAGCATATTAAAAAACCCCAAGAATTCAAGAATAAAACCCCATTGAAATTGGTCAAGAAATAAGCAATTTATACGAAGTATCTTCTCTTGCACAATACTGTGCAATTAAATATTTCTTGCTATTGCGCAATACTGTACAAATGACACTTTCTTGCTATTGCACAATATTGTGCTATTGGATATTTCTTGCTATTGCGTAATACTGTGCAATTGAAGATTTCTTGCTATTGCGCAATACTGTGCAATTGAAGATTTCTTGCTATTGTGCAATACTGTGCAATTGAAAATTTCTTGCTATTACACAATACTTATTATATAATAATTTACACATCCTGTTTGGTGTGTTTCTCCTACCATATCATTATTATTTGCTTTTAAATATAAATCAGAAATAACCAACTTAAAATGGAAAATTTTAAAAGAAAAAAAAAAGGAAAAAAAGAAAAAAAAGGAAAAAAAAAAAAATCCCCCCCCCAATTTTTTGAACCCCCTTATGATTCATCACCCTCAAACTCAATCCCAGCATTCCCTTTGTGGTATGGTACCTTGCAGTACAATTTCAGAGAGATCCATACACTTGAACACTAGTTATTGTCTGGAAACTAGAAAAATGTGTTTTTTGGCCCCTTTTTGGCCCCAAATTCCTAAACGTTTAGGGCAATTACCCCCAAACTCAAACCCAGCTTTCCCTTTGTGATATGGAACCTTGTAGTACAATTTCAGAAAGATCCATACACTTACACACAAGTTATTGTCCTGAAACTAGAAAAATGCTTGTTTTTGGCCCCTAATTCCTAAAATTTTGAGGCAATTACCCCCATCATCAATCCCAGCCTTCCCTTTGTGGTATGGTACCTTGCGGTACAATTTCAGAGAGATCCATACACTTGAACACAAGTTATTGTCTGGAAACTAGAAAAATGCTTATTTTTGGCCCCTTTTTGGCCCCCAATTCCTAAACGTTTAGGGCAATTACCCCCAAACTCAATTCCAGCTTTCCCTTTGTGATATGGAACCTTGTAGTAAAATTTCAGAAAGATCCATACACTTACACACAAGTTATTGTCATGAAACTAGAAAAATGCTTGTTTTTTGCCCCTTTTTTGGCCCCTAATTCCTAAAATTTTGAGGCAATTACCCCAAAATCAATCCCAGCATTCCTTTTGTGTTATGGAACCTTGTGGTACAATGTTAGAGAGATCCATACACTAACACACAAGTTATGTCTGGAAGTTACAAAAATGCTTATTTTTGGCCCCTTTTTGGCCCCTAATTCCTTTACTGTTGGTACCATAACCCCCAAAATCAATCCCAACCTTCCTTTTGTGGTATTGAACCTTGTGGTAAAATTTCATAGAGATCCATTCACTTAAACTAAAGTTAGAGTGCGAAAACCAATGTGTCTTCGGACGACGACGACGACGACGCCAACGTCATACCAATATACGACCACAAAAATTTTTTTGCGGTCGTATAAAAACTAGATAAAGATCTTCATTTTAAGGGCAATAACTCCTTAGGGAGCCATCCAACAGGTTCGGTCATACTTATCATTTTCGTAACTCTGGTATTGCTGAAAATTTTTGCTGTCAACAGTTTCTACTTCTATCATAGATTTAAAGATAACAAGAAAAAACATGAAAATTAGACAAAAATCATTCTTTATGGGAAATGACTTCTTCAAGGGGCATTAGCTATAACTAAATAAAAATTTTCAAACATTTCAAAATAATTTAAAGTGGAATGTTGAAATAATACTTTGCTATAAGCAGTCAGTTTTGTTCAATTTTGTTAAAATTAGCTCAAAAACATATTGCTTATGTATTATTGGCATGCAAGTAAAAAATTCAACCTCATTTGAATCTGTATTCATGGAACCTTTAATTTTACCACTAACTAGAGATGGGTTATGTATGTGCTAAGTATGTTCAGTTATTAAAAAGAAAAGAATGTCAACATTGAAAAAAGACACAGGGGAGTCACCAGTAAAACCATTTTGTTAACTGATTTTGGATGTTTTGGTAGCTCTTGTATTGCTGACCAATTTTACTGTTTACATATTACTACTTACCTATTGTTCCTTTTGAGATAAAAGGCAAAAATACCAACAGATTAATTTTTTCCTGTGTAACTGAGATGCCACATTTAAATTTGACCTTTTGTCACTGAAATGGTACATTTTTATCTTACCTTTTGCCACTGAGATGCCACATTTTAGGAAGAATACACTGAGTTAATGATAATAGGAAAGATAACAAAAGGAATGCTGCCAATATCAGGGACATGTTGAATCTGCAAAAGATAAATGAAAATCTCAGTTTCAGCTTATGATCATTACTTTTTTTTAATACAATGAAAAGTGTCTTTGAGACAAAAGTTTTGTTTTGGATGAAATTACTAATGTTCATTGTGTCATTGTTTCATTTTTTTTAGACTATTTCAAAGGAATTTGTTATTACAAGGATTTGTATAGTAAGAAGGATTGGAATCTCCTGGTTTATCGTTTTCTCTTACCCTGCGAGACTTCGCTACTCGCCACTACTACTTGTCACTTACGATATCGGAACAATTATTCGGTAATTTTTTGTACACATGTATCGAGTTATTTTCTTATTTTTGTTACGTATAGACATTGTTGTGATGGTAAAGGACTTTAATCATTCTTAAATGTAATTATTATTGATTACCACTCAAGTTTCTTTCGATGACAAAGCGTAATTAAACCGTTTTCTTTTGATGAATAAACAGCTGCGCCATGAGCGCATGATACGCCCATCGTCTTGTGTGTGAATTTTTATGCAATAAGCATAAATAGTTTCTGACATACGGCGTGACATGTGAAAACCCCCTTTTTTTTTTTACAAAAAACTCAATATCTCTAAAATAAAATTTTGAATCAAAACCAAAAAGTATACAGATCTTTAGATTAATATAACTAAGAAGTGTGTAAAATTTTAAGCAATAATCATAAATCGTTTTTGAGATACGGCGTGACATGTGAAAACCCCCCCCTTTTAAAAAAAAAAAATCAATATCTCAAAAATAAAATTTTGAATCAAAACCAAAAAGTATACAGATCTTTAGATTAATATAACTAAGAAGTGTGTAAAATTTTAAGCAATAATCATAAATCATTTTTGAGATACGGCGCGACATGTGAAAAACCCCTCCCCCTTTTTTTACAAAATACTCAATAACTCAAAAATAAAATTTTGAATCATCACCAAAAAGTATACAGATCTTAAGGTTAATATAACTAAGAAGTGTGTAAAGTTTTAAGCAATAATCTTAAACTGTTTTTGAGATACGGCGCGACATGTGAAAAACCCCTCCCCCTTTTTTAACAAAATACTCAATATCTCTAAAATAAAATTTTGAATCATCACCAAAAAGTATACAGATCTTAAGATTAATATAACTAAGAAGTGTGTAAAGATTTAAGCAATAATCATAAATTGTTTTTGAGATACGGCGCGACATGTGAAAAAAAACACACACCTGTTTTAGTTACTAAGTCCCGTAACTCAAAAAGTTTTAATCTTATTCTTACCAAAAAGTATACAGATCGTTTGACCATCATAAGAAACAACTATTTTAAGTTTCATGAAATTTGGATAAGTCATTCTCAAGTTACGGTGCGACATGTTTACGCCGGACAGACAGACGGACGTACAGACAGACAGACTAACGCCGGACATTTGTATACCATAATACGTCCTGTCAAAAATTTGACGGGCGTATAAAAAGCGTAATTCAATGTGTAAGAACAATGTGTTTACCGTTAAATGTTAACTTCTAAAATTTTTAATTTCAGTCAATTGCTAAAACAATGAAAAAAAATATCTCATTCTTGTAAATTTTGTGAATAGGTGCAAAACCACTTTTGTGGCAAGCTCAACTTTAAATCTTACAACAACAAGTGATTGTGAGCTGCTTTTTGGCAATTACATAGTTTGAGAACTGACCACACATTTCAAGAAGAATTACTGCATTGTGTATTATATACATGTCAGTGGCAGATCCATAAATTATCATACTTACTATACAAATCCTTGGTTATCATAATTACATCCAGTGTTTTCTTATCATTTTAGTGTTGTAGTTCGTTAAAGAATTCGGTGTCAAGGGAAAATATTTCTAGTCTCTGATAGATTTATTTTCAATTACTCTAGGCTTTGAATGATTAAAAGCTTGACATAATGTATAAACATTTTATTGTTGGACGGTATGTTGACCTCTAGATATCTTTTCTGTTATTTTATGTTGTTGGGGAGCTATCTCATCATCTATAGATCCTCGCAATTTCTTCTTTGTTTGCAATGAAAGTTATTGAACATACATAGTCAAATCAGGACCTAACAACACTGTGCATGCATGAATTAATGTGTTCCTTGATCACTTGTTCTACATTTAATTCTTGAATTAGTTTTTCTATCTTTATACTTACATTACTGTATTGCATACTGCTTCCTTGATGGTTAAGTAATTATCATGTGTTCTCTGACACTGGAACACATTACTGAGAGCTGTTAGATTTCCAAAACCATAGTTCAATTGTGTTCTTACAGCTGTTATTGGCCGTTCTACCTTCAAATATTAAAAAATTAATGAAAACATTTAGCAAGTACATAATACTTTCAAAAGGATTAAAAGAAAAAGATAAAAGACCAAAGGGTAAGAATGTCCCTTTCCAACACTTGTCAAACACACTTTTTTTCTACAATTTTCATCATTTGGCCTGAAACTCGTATCAAAATTTGTTAAGCCTGCTTTCTCTTGCTGATAGTACTCTATAAGCCGCACCTAATCATTGCCTGGTAATTTTAATTTTATAGTAAAAGACTGTGGACAATACAAGAGAGAATTTGGTACTTTTATTAAAACACATGCACACATACAAATGCTCTTAAAGGGAAACTTTGCAAAAAAATAAAAAATTGATATTATGTCCATTCTGTATAAAAAAGCACAAATTCATAAATATTAAAGTTTTATTCTGCTAGATAAGAGATCACCATCGATTTTAAATTTAGAGTATCAATTCTCTGCGTGCGGCCATTTTGACATCTTCTCGGTTTAGAAACCCCGATATATCTATAAACCACAAAGGACCAAAACCAGCAGTAACCTAACGTAGTCGCATTTATCCGACTAACTAACTTGATACGGAAAATGTAATTGTATTTTTAAATAACTATGGTCTGTCGTTTTAAAACTGTTTTTTCTTTACGAAGTTTTTGAAACAAGAAATTTATATGGGAATTAGTTAAAAAGTCAAAGTTCAAAGTCATAAATAAGTGTTCCGTGTAAAATCGTTTTCGAAAATCTAATTTGTTCATGATTCTTTTATGTAATAAACTTATTTAAATAAATTCGGACCTTCTCTTATCTGATCACCAGCATGGCTAAAGGAATTATTCCCTGAGGTATTGTGAGGTGACACGTCCAGGTATTCAAGCGATTTCCTGTCGGGTTTAAAAACTCTTATTACACAATTACATAAAGCATGTTCATGCATCGCTTCACTTCTGAGGGTATTGATTAGTGTACACGGCCGATAACTTGTAACTTTCCATTTTAAAACTATCAGGTGTAATATACATCTTTGTCTTGCGTGTCCGATAGTGATATACTAGTCATTACTAAACTCATACGCTTGTTTATAAATAACATTTCTAGTGTAAAGAATGATATTTATGAAAATCTAAATAATTCCAAAAAAAGATTTGATAAAATAAAAATCTATTTACATATTTTTCCAAGGGTAAATTGGGGAAAATGTAAGTATATACTCGTTGTCAATAATGATGGACATTTTGAAACATGAAAAACTATTGATTTAAAAAATACGCACTTGTCGATCATTGGTTTATACGCCTAGATAGAAAGTTACGGAACTATAGATAGTCGCAATTTAAAATTGTATATTGAATATAAGAAAGAACATCTAGAACCAATTTGATTTAAATACAGGTCGATATCTAACTTGCTTTGGTTCATCGAAGTTATGGACATAGTAAAATCACAGATTAATATTTCAATTAGATTGTTCTCGAACAGTTGAAGAAATTCGTCATCATCACAATTGTTGGGTATAATGTATATTAATGTGAACATGGTTCTAATAGAACCTTATGCCAATTTTCCTGTTCCGACATGCATGTAATATATATGCCACTGGACGTACACTAATGATCCCCAAAAGTTTATTTGAAGAAATAAAGAAAATTCACTCCGGATAGACTGATAGTAGTTGTATTAACGTCTGATCAGCTTGAGGGTTGATTAATTTATTACGTTAGCTTGTGGGGGAATAAACCATTCCCACTATTGCACTTATGCATAAAATATTAAATAAGAGTAATATAAGAGAAAATATAAATACGAAAAGTCGCATTTCTGGTAAAAAAAAAAAAATCTCACCAACTATAGGATTTCACGTACAATTGTCATTATGATCGAAATAACGGACAGTCATTAAAATACATGCATGTACGCTTTGATAAAAAGGGGTGCCGCAGTTGCATATTATTCATCATAAATCTATTTCAAGTTTATACTTTCCTGTTATTCTTATCAGTTAACGCAGAGACATGTAACTATACATCTCTAGTTAACGACAATCAACTATATAAATATCTGAATCTGATGTGACTTACCGTTCATCTCTAGTGGTTCATCTCTTTCATTTTTTTTTTTTCTTCTTTTTTTTTTTTTTGGGCAGGAACATAAACATTGTTAGATATAATGTTCCCAGGTTTGAGGGGGGGGTTGGAGGTCAAGTCTATCGAAAGTTACAAAATAAGAACGTTGTATTTATGAAATTACAAGAAGAATTCTGTTCTTGGACGTTGTTTTCTCCTTTCTTTTTTTTTTTAGTTCAGTGATTTAAATTGAGAAAAAATCTAATCAGAATTTAAATCGTTCCGTCAATCCCCCACCTAATACTCCTCTAAAATCATGAATGGTCATGCTTCACAATCATCAGAATTTACTTTGCATTGGTACATTCTGTATCGGTAGTGATTAACCTTGACATTTCCGGGTATAACAGAGGTACTTGTATATTACCTGTATGTGGTTAGGTACATCGTCCCATGAGGTCTTACGTATACAGGTTCACATTTATAATGGTTTCTGATATAACAAGGTTTTATGACATTCACACTTCTGCATGTTCTGTATACCAGTTTCTTATCTTATTTTCAGACCGAATGAGGATGTGAATATTTTCCAGGAAAAATATTGAGTATCAAAGTATCAAATTAATTTCGGGATTTTTTTCTTTCTTGGTATTAAATCACAGAAATTTATAAATAATACTGCTTATAGATATAAGAAGATGTGGTATGAGTGCAAATGAGACAACTCTCCATCCAAGTCACAATTTATAAAAGAAAACCATTATAGGTCAAAGTACGGTCTTCAACACGGAGCCTTGGCTCACACCGAACAGCAATTAAGCTATAAAGGGCCCCAACAAATTACTAGTGTAAAACCAGGAGCATTGTTGTCAGTTAAGACAGACATATAATTATATGTATATATATGTCTGCGGTATAGACATGGTTTATGAATGAATGATAAATCTTACAAAGGTACAAGATATAAAGCACATTGAACATTGATTCCGCCGGTCTGTCTCCATTCAATAAAGGCAAGTTGACGTTAGATTGATTCTGTAAAAATTTTTTAAACAACGTTGGTCAAATAGCTAAAGTATTTATTGTGAGATGTAGAATATTTAAATAAGGAAATTCCCGATTAGGTAAATGTAGATCGCTTTGGACGGACCAAACTACAAATGTATATTAATGGAACTGATAATTTTCTCTGCACATTTAAATATTCAAGGTTACCGATGATAATTCAAAATAGCACAGTTTTTGGTTTATACGCTCGTTTTCGTGGGCCATTTTTATTTATAAAATTATTTAATTGAAAGTTATTCAGAATTCCGATGGTACAACAAAGTACTCACCCATCTATTTAAAAACTGAGCTAACGCAAAATATAAAAAATATATATAACGGCGATTCAGGTATTTTGCCACCATATTCCTCCCCAAATAATTATTTTTTTCTGTCTCAAACCCACATTTCTCTTTTATCATTTTTATTTATGTTTTTCAAACCGGAAAATAATTTTTGTTCTTAATTATTCGATCTCATTCCAATAAGACAAAGTTGACCTTAAATTTCCTGTCAACTTTTTAATTATCTTTCTTCAAATGGCTGAAGTATTTATACGTTGTGAGATTTAAAATATTTTGATAAGGACATTAATTCCTGAATATGTAAATAAAGATCGCTTTGGATGGACCAAATTATATAATTGCAATTGGTAATTATCTATTTCAAATATTCAAGGTTACCGATTCTAATTTAAAATAGTACAATTTTTAGTTCATACACTCGTGTTTAGAATGCCATTATTATTTATTCAATTAAATTAATTCAGTATTTCATTGTTACAATAATATTCAGCAGTCATAATTCATTTTAAACTGAGCTTACGGAAAATATAAAAATATACCACGGCTATCCAGTTATTGTGCCACCATATTACTCCCTCAAAATAATTATATTTCTTTTTTTATTTTCTGTCTCAAACTATCACTCCCGTTTATCATTCATACGAAATGATGTTCACACCTGGAACGGTGAACCGTGACGGCTAAAATTCACTGAGTGAAGATCAAAAGATTAGAATTACAGAATGCAAACCTTTAAATACCTTGAATTTAACTACGCATTCAACAGGTAGTCACTAAGTGTCACAGTACAATACACATTGTATTTACACGGTACTAGCGGAAAATGTTTGCTAGACTGAAGTAAAAGGTGAGAATACAAACATGCATTTTTAATACACTATCAGTTAAATATGTTTGTTGAAAATATCCGTCGGAAAAAAAATTCATAAAAATATTCTATTGTATGATTTACTTTTATTACTATAATGACTATAATCATATCAGAAATCCTTAAAATATAAATCGTACATTTTATTTTTAAAAGTTGCACGGCTGATCACTTTACTTTCTTAATTATCAGTTGGTTAATAGCTACGCCAAAAGTCGTCGATGCGCTTTAAATCGCGTTATTAGATGGTTAACGAACAAGACTTAAATGAGATTAATTCCACTCCCGGCATGCAAAAAGACTTAAACTATGTCACAGAAGTCAGGAAGTTCGAATAAATAAAATTAATAATTCCCAATTTTCTTCTTTATTAGTTTTCATATCCAGATAAAACTTGGTGAATATGTTTTTTATGGTATTATGAACATAATAAGATGATAAGTAAAAAATCGCGAATTTTCCCTTTAATGTTTTTATATGATTGATTTACTAAATGTAGCTAAAAGTGTGTAAAATAAATACCTTACAAGTTATGTAACCACTTCTGTCAGTAGAATATGGTTTGCTTTGTTTTTTTTTCTCTTAAAGGCTTAAAAACAAGTAGAATGCTAAGATTTTTATCGTGTTTCGAGCAAAAAACAAATAAAATTGATGTTTTAAGACAATGTATGGTTGTTCTCTTTATACTACATCTCTTAAAATTGCTTTCATTGAAATATTTTGGTAAAAAACAACAATTTTGATTTTAAAGCATATGGCGTAAAAAATCTGAAACCATGCTATCTTTCACAACATCATAAATAATAAACTGTTAACACAGAAATATGTCTCGCCTTTTTGTTATTTTGATAATGCAAATGTTGAAATTAAAATAGCAATATTTTAACATGTAAGTTATGCAAATATTCAAAGTCAATGAACCATGGCTAAACAATCTCCATGGAAATAAGATGTGCCAATGTTAATACAATTGCATACCAAATAGCATTGACTTATCATAAGTCATTCCCTTTAAACAAACCAAAACACAAACATTAACTTGTAAACTATGTAAAAGCTTCAAAGTCAATGAACCATGATGAGAGGGTGGGGCTATATAATCTCCATGAAAATGAGACTTGCAAATGCCAATACATTTGCATACCAAATATCATTGACTTAACATTAGCGGTTCATCTTAAAACTATCTAATCACAAACTAATACATGTTAACTAAGCAAAAGTCTCAATGTCAATAGACCATGACTGAGGGGTCAGGGCCAAATAATCTCCATGGAAATGAAATATGACAATGCTTATACAACTGCATACCAAATATCATTGACCTACCACTAGTGGGTCCCCTTAAACTGACCTAATCACAAACTTATACATGGTAACTAAGCAAAAGTTTCAAAGTACATAGACCATGACTGAGGGGGTGGGGCTAAATAATCTCCATGGAAATGAGATATGCCAATGCTTATACAATTGCATACCAAATATCATTGACTTACCACTAGTGGTTCCCCTTAAACTGACCTAATCACAAACTTATACATGGTAACTAAGCAAAAGTTTCAAAGTACATAGACCATGACTGAGGGGGTGGGGCTAAATAATCTCCATGGAAATGAGATATGCCAATGCTTATACAATTGTATACCCAATATCACTGACCTACCACTAGTGGTCCCCCTTAAACTGACCTAATCACAAACTTATACATGGTAACTAAGCAAAAGTTTCAAAGTACATAGACCATGACTGAGGGGGTGGGGCTAAATAATCTCCATGGAAATGAGATATGCCAATGCTTATACAATTGCATACCCAATATCATTGACCTACCACTAGTGGTTCACCATAAACTAGACCTAATCACAAACTAATACACTGTTGATGCCGCTGCCGCAGCCGACACTGGAAACAGCATACCTATGTCTGGCTTTTTGACTCCGTCAAGGTGAGACAAAAACTCTGTTGCAACAGATTATCAACTTCACAAACAATGCTTTAATTTATGGTAAGTGACTGTATAAAGTCAACATTTATATGGTCAAGGTATTTTGAATGTGCATATAGCGCAATAGTGCAGATGCAGTATAAATTGGAATATCATAACAACTACAGTCTACATGTAGCTCTTCAACTTACTTTATGAAGTATACTTAAACTAATGCTGACATTATAAATCTTTGATAATGTTTCATTCGCTAAAGTCACAGCACTTAAAGCTTCAGAAATGTCCTGAAATGTAATAGCATACTTAAAATTACGCTACAATAAAATGACTGCATGGTACAACAAATAACCTTTTGTTCAATCTTTTAAAACTTATATATTATTAGAGTTTATAAGTTTTATATTAATTTTGTGCAATATGTTTGTCAATTTTTTACTACAAGTACTACAGTTTACTTATTCACCCTGTGTCATAGATGTACACAAATGATCTTAAACATGCTGAATGAAATATATATTTATTATCAAATCAAATTTCCATTTACTATCATTATCCCAGCTTCATTCCCTATACATTTCACTTTAAACATCTTAAGATAACAAAAAATTGTCATTTTTTTACTCGCGATTGCATTTTTCAGATATAAAACTTTAACAGTTACCTTGGGTACCATTAAAATACCTAGGAATTTTTTTTATCATGTTCACATGAAATGGATAATATCAAAAATATTTAAATTATATCAAATCATACAAAATTTTGATCATTAAACACAAACCATCAATAAGAAATTACTGAGTTCAGATGTAATTACAGAGACTTTATTGTATTTCCTCCTTCTATTGGAGATTTTTTCAAAAGTCTGCCCCAATTGCTAGACCTTTCACTTTTGGAGCATATAAAATGAATCTTCAAACTAAACTGTAAAATTTGATGGACCCAAAATTCTAGAACTTTTGATTTATATTATCTGGAAATTAAGGTCTGTCAAATTTTATGGAGTTTACATTTTATAAATTTATTTTATAATCTCCAAAAATAAATCCTTTTGGGACATATTTGAAAAGAATTAGGTCATCATAATCCTATTGGAATTGTAACTTATTTTATTTTCACTTTCAGATATTTCTGGAAATATTTTGCACCAACAAGCACATAAAAGGTAAGAATTTGTCTATAAGCAAACATTTCTAGCCATCAAGTTTCTAGCCATCAAGTGAAAGATTTTATGGCAAAATTGGGTCTCAAAGTTGTAGAAAAATTTGCTCTCAAAATGCAGCCAAGAAAAATGGCTTCAGCCTTATGAAGTCATAGGAAGGAGTCACAGCAAAAAATTAAAATAGCCTTTCAAGACCTCATAATTATTTAGACTAAGTGCTGCTTTCTACAGTTTCTATACATATTTATTGAAATATGGTAAGATAGTAAGGTAGTAATGATTTACAAGATTTTTGACAACTTACCTGAGAGTATTTGCCAGCTGCTCCATCGTCCTTACATTTTATGTATGTTTTGATTATTTCTACAAAAACAAAAGAAGGGGAATTTCCTCTTTTATAAAACATCATAATGATAAAGCACATGAGAATAATTCACAAACATGCAACAGACAATGTACATATTTGAAGATGATGGTTAAGTGATTATTGATGTCTGAGAAAATAAAGCACAAACTGTTTCCCTTAGAACACAGATGTTTCCAACAAGTATTTACAAAAAGCAGAAAGAGTGAAGTAAATATCTACACATCTACACTATACACAGTGAAGCATTCAACAATCGACAAAAAACCTTATGATACATTAAAGTTCTCATCTAATGCCTTTAACCCTATTAAATATGTGTGTAAATTTGTATTTCTAAGAAATTTTTGACCGATAATAATTATCATATTTTCAATACATTTATTAAAAAAAAAAAAACACTGACAAACAATGTGATTTCACCTTTTCTTTGTATTTCTATGATTGAAATAAATTCAATTTTGTCCTCAGTGATATGGAACAACACATTGTTTTTTAAATCTTACATTTAAATCTTACATAACAGTCTACTTTATACATATGTATGGAGAATGGTGTTCAATCCATCAAAAAATTGTATAACATTGTATGATAGCAGTAGTAATTACCTTTCTCTATTCTCTCATTGACAACATTTTCTATAAAACTTTCTGGATCCACACATAAATCTGCATTTGTCTGTAAGAAAATCATATAGATTGTTAATGATCTTGAATTTAAAGAGGTCCTTGCTGAAAGAAAAAAATCCTAATTCGTAGATGCCAACCCCTCTTTGTTGCAATCAATAAAAAAGTATTACGATTTCCGAAATTTCTGATTTTTTTCAGTAATAATATTTGTTATAAAATTCAATAATAATCATACTAACAACTAGGCACACAGTGACAAATAAAAGACTTCCTTCCTTAATTTATGACAACTGCGATTCAAAGTTGAAGAGCACGTGAGGAAAACCGACCATTGCTCTGAATGGAAGTCTTGTTCACAAATATTTGCAAAAGACATCAAACATCGTACTTGGCAGGTTCATTAATTATTCGGAATCGAACAAGAAATGGATATATCGCTTAATAATATAGATAGTCCTGAGAAACCCAAAGAATTTAATAATCTGTATCACGCTAGTGCTTATTGTAAAAAAATTATAACTAAAAATAAAGCGTCACATTTAACAAAATGATATCTAAACAGGCAACTGTTCCAGACGGGTTATGAGCAGAAATCCGTAACAAGTAGACTGTTAATCGTAACACCATAATTTTGTTCCAAAATTCGTAAAAATTACGGGTAAATCGTAACTGTTGGCATCTATGATAATTTCTTTAAATATAGTATTAATTAATATAATTACAAAATGTACATGGAAATTTTGTATTTAATTATGGGTCTAGAATCACAATTTAAAATACAAACTAGAAATTTGATGTTGATAGCAGATCTGTGTATAGTATCTATTCAATTATGCTATGAAGTACTGTCTGACCTCCTGCCATTGAACTTTTCCAGGAATAGGCCTTAATCAAGTTCTAAACAAACTGGAGTCTTTTGCCAGGACGAAAGCAATATTCATTTCAAGTTAACTTGTCTTTGTTCTGTATTTGGAGGAATGTAACTTAAGTTATGCACACTCTATTATAATCACTAAGCATTGTCACATTAACAAGATTTGTTTTATAGACCCAAAATGTCATAACTTTGTTTATCTTTTATTGTATTTTAGTGACGATATTCCAAAAGGGAGCATACTTTACAATATTAAAGTAAATGAACCATTTATAAGACATTCTGGCCACTAGCTTTCTTCAGTTTCTATGTTATCTTTCTAAACTACCAGTCACTTTTCACAGTACATTTAGATGTTAAACATTTAGATCCTTGGTAATGTATCAGGACATAATAACTAAATTTAAATTAGACATCTTGAGCATAAGATTGATAAAAGTTGATAGCATTACCATTTTAAAGGATATTTAGTATTGCTTTGACGTCTAATGGCCTTTCATGGAAGATAAGCTTTTGTTTGTGCTACAAAGGCTTAGTACATGAATAGAAGTTACATATTCCTGGAGTTATATAGGGAATTGAATGATGTTTTGTTTATAAACCTGGAAATTGATCTTGTATGATTTCACGATAGAAACTAGCCACCAATTTCCACGTTTTATATAACTCAGCTCTGACTTCCCACAGCCCCAACAATTCATAAAAAGGGCTGTCAGATGTCAGAGCAATCAAGGACTAGAGGACAGTATGCCTTAAAAGTCAATTCATAACTATTTTTTCAAATTTCAAATGATATGCTTAGCATTAGATAGAATGTAATGTAAACACATTTTCTAATTTGTGCACATCACTGCACATTTCTACAAAGTACTGTAAATTCAGAAATTTTTGCATGCACTTATTATTGCAATATTTGAACAATGGACCAAAAAGTGGATCATTAATTTTGATTTCAAGAAATGTTGCATACACTTAATGCAATCAAAATTTAAAATGTGAGTCAATATTTTTACGAAACCTATCCCAAAGCAATTTTAGCAATAACAAAAACATTGCAAAGATTTCTCAATTTGTAGTAATACACTATGAAAATAACAAGATGTTTGCAAAACAAAAATGGGTTGACTGATCGGAAAGTCAACAAGTCAATTATGATTAGTGTCCTTCAGTCCTTTGGTTTATAAGTATAAAGCAGATATGCAGATGATTTTTTTTCTTGTCAGACATTGGGTCCAGTGTGTAAGACAGTCTGGCCAGTCCTATCAACTGTTTGCCAGACCTAATTTTTTTTGAAAAAAATAATAGTTCCCTGTTGGATTAAGTTACACCTTGAAGCCTTGACACAGAGAGTGACTAGAACAACCAGATTAAGGATAAGACCATGGGAAGGTTTAATGACTGATATAACATTCGCATCTGAATCACTATTAAATGGAGGCATTTTTTTTAACCAGGTTTTGGTCCTTCCAAGAACTTTATTGGCCATGATGCAGCAACAACTGAAACTGCAAACAGTCAACTAATTACAAAGATTCCTTGTAGGACGTGAAATAAATCAGCGATTAAAACTGGTTCCCCAAATTTAGCTTAAATGGATGGAAACAGTTATTTATGTTTACCAGTTTGACCTATTTGTTTATGAATTTTTGACTTAAATTAAAGGTAAAAGATATTTGTGTGAGAGGTAATCAGGACCAATCTAAATTTCATTTTTGACAGCCCAAACAGTTTAAATATTTGCCAGTAGTTGGGTTTGACACAAAGACGCCATTTGCAAAACCCTCTAAAATTCTGCTCCCTAGGTTATACAGGGCCGACGATTAGCTGCATCTCTGATAGTTAGTTGTTTGGTTAGACAAAATTTTCCATTACTTACCACGCTACCACCTAGGTATACTCCATTCATTATCCAGGAGAGGAACAGATTACTTACCACACTACCACCTAAGTATACTCCATTCATTATCCAGGAGAGAAACAGATTACTTACCACACTACCACCTAGGTATACTCCATTCATTATCCAGGAGAGAAACAGATTACTTACCACACTACCACCTAGGTATACTCCATTCATTATCCAGGAGAGGAACAGATTACTTACCACACTACCACCTAGGTATACTCCATTCATTATCCAGGAGAGGAACAGATTACTTACCACACTACCACCTAGGTATACTCCATTCATTATCAAGGAGAGGAACAGATTACTTACCACACTACCACCTAGGTATACTCCATTCATTATCCAGGAGAGGAACAGATTACTTACCACACTACCACCTAGGTATACTCCATTCATTATCCAGGAGAGGAACAGATTACTTACCACACTACCACCTAGGTATACTCCATTCATTATCAAGGAGAGGAACAGATTACTTACCACACTACCACCTAGGTATACTTCATTCATTATCCAGGAGAGGAACAGATTACTTACCACACTACCACCTAAGTATACTCCATTCATTATCCAGGAGAGGAACAGGATAAGGAAACCAAAGGAAATGGAGCTGAAAATAGACACATATCAAAAATAAATACATTACCTCATAATGGTTTATTTCTAAGTCTGCTCTCTACTTTTGAACTCATTTCAAGCATGACTTTATTAATTCAAGGATATAAAAATAAGCTTTCATTAAACAATTTTTTTCTATTTTGTTTGTTTTTATTACAGATTCATTGTATGGTGACAAATCTTTTTTATTATTTTGTGTCGTTGTTGTCTCATTAATCTCCTTTTAAACCTATTTCATTATAAACAATTAAATAATTTGATAATTTCATTTTCAGACAAATATCAAAACTGCTAAATAGATGGATGTATAATTTTGAAGAATCTGGGTTTCTGGACCAATAACATAAGATTTTTTTGTAATATCAATTTCTTTAGTATCATATAAAAAAAAGTCGGGTTTTGTTTTGGTATCCTACAAGAACCCTTTAATTTTAATGACATTTACATTTATAAAGTTTATTTAGACAAATGCTAATTTAGTTGTTGATATAGAAACTTCGATAGAAAATGCTGTTAAAAAATAACTCTACAGATTACATGTGCTTGTTTGTTTAAATCAATTTCTATTAAATTTTTATACAAATTCTTCCATAAATGACCTGGAGATATCACCTTATACTTACGTAGCCAGGAGACATCTTGATCTTTTACAACAACCACACAATGATACCACTAATACAAACAGTATCACAGACAATACAACTACTGTTGTTGTCCATCTACAAGGAAAATCAAACTTAGTACAGGCAAAATATATCTAGTTACACATCTAATAAAATACAGGCAAAATATATCTAGTTATACATCTAATAAAATACAGGCGAAACATATCTAGTTATAGATCTAATAAAATACAGGCAAAATATATCTAGTTATAGATCTTATAAAATCTAGAATAGATCATATGCTTAAATTTAAAATGTGTTAAGTTTCCTTATTTGAATGTGAACTATATTAGAATTCATTTGAAAACACACATCAGATATAACTCAAGCACAAGTCCAATAACTTAAACTTGCAACTTACCTAAAAACTTTGTAATGTTAAATGATCTATGAAGGAAGACAAACACCATCCACAAAAACCCATATTTTAATCATTTCATATCTTAATAAATTTTTGAAGTCGAATTTTGATATTAAATACTAATACTTTTAGTTTAACTAATCTCCATATTTGAATATCAAAAATATAACAATGCAGGACCAAATGATGCATGGACTAAACAAGTCTGCAGCACAAGTTTAATGCTTAGCATGAAATATTTGCCATTGGATATTAAGCAACCAACAATCAATCAATTCAATACTGTACACTATTTTATTTAGCAGCATTTTGTCCAAGGTTATGGTTGTCTTTCTGATATTGTTTTACATCTAACCCCCCTTTTTAGCTCACCTGGCCCGAAGGGCCAAGTGAACTTTTCTCATCACTTGGCGTCCGTCGTCCGTCGTCGTCGTTAACTTTTTACATTTTGAACTTCTTCTAGAGAACCACTGAATGGAATGAAACCAAACATGGCATGAATGTTCCTTATGAGGTGCTGACCAAGTGTTGTTACTTTGAAGCCGATCCATCATCCAAGATGGCCGCCAGCGAGGGGGACTTAGTTTAACATAGGACCCTATGGGAAATACATACAAATGTCTTCTTTTAGAGAACCATTGAATGGAATGAAACCAAACATTGCATGAATGTTCCTTATGAGGTGCTGACCAAGTGTTGTTACTTTGAAGCCGATCCATCATCCAAGATGGCCGCCAGTGGAGGACTTAGTTTAACATAGGACCCTACGGGAAATATTTACAAATGTCTTCTTTTAGAGAACCACTAAATGGAATGAAACCAAACATTACATGAATGTTCCTTATGAGGTGCTGACCAAGTGTTGTTACTTTGAAGCCGATCCATCATCCAAGATGGCTGCCAGCGGGGGACTTAGTTTAACAAAGGACCCTATGGGAAATACATACAAATGTCTTCTTTTAGAGAACCACTGAATGGAATGAAACAAAACATGGCATGAATGTTCCTTATGAGGTGCTGACCAAGTGTTGTTACTTTGAAGCCGATCCATCATCCAAGATGGCCGCCAGCGGGGGACTTAGTTTAACATAGGACCCTAAGGGAAATACATATAAATGTCTTCTTTTAGAGAACCACTGAATGGAATGAAACCAAACATGGCATGAATGTTTCTTTTGAAGTGCTGACCAAGTGTTGTTACTTTGAAGCCAATCCATCATCCAAGATGGCCGCCAGTGGGGGGACAATTTTTAACAAAGGACCCTACAATACATACAAATGTCTTCTTTTAGAGAGCCACGTACTGAATATATTGAACCCAAACATGGCATGAATGTTTCTTTTTGAAGTGCTGTCAAGTGTTGTTACTTTGAAGCTGATCTTTCATCCACGATGGCTGCCAGCGGGGGACTTCCTTTAACATAAGATCCTATGGGAAATACATACAAATGCTTCTTCTAGAGGTGCACTGAATGGAATGAAACCAAACATGGCATAAATGCTTCTTATGAGGTGCTGATGAAGTGTTGCTACTTTGTTGCCGATTTACTTGTTAAAGATGGCCACCAGGATTTTTTTATTATATTACAGGACCAATATTAAACCAAATTTGGCCTCACTCATTATTAGGGTATCATAAACAATGTTATGATTTTAATCTATTTTTACATGATTTCAAAAATCAAAGTAGAATCAGGTGAGCGACACAGGCTCTTGAGAGCCTCTAGTTTAAATCAATTTTGTATTTAAATTGTGTCAAAGATCAAATTTATTCGTTCAGTGTATGTTCACTTGTTTTTGATATGTCTTTGGATTGAGTTAAGCCATTTCAATTGATATTTTATGGTGTGTCTTTCTATGTTGTGATGTTACACTATTGTTTCAGGTAAGGGTGAAGGTTGGCGCCTATTAAAACATTTAAACCCGCTGAATTTGTTTGCACCTATCCTAAGTCAGGAACCTGATGTTCAGTGGTTGTCGTTTGTTGATGTGGTTCATAAGTGTTTCTCTTTTCTCGTTTTTTTATATAAATTAGACTGTTGGTTTTCCTGTTTGAATGGTTTTACACTAGTCATTTTTGGGGCCCTTTATAGCTTGCTGTTTGGTGTGAGCCAAGGCTCCATGTTGAATGCCGTACTTTGACCTATAATGCTTTACTTTTACAAATTGTGACTTGGATGGAGAGTTGTCTCATTGGCACTCATACCACATCTTCTTATATCTAATTAGCGGCATTTACACACAAGTGGTATTATTTTTATATTCCAATGTGGTAATTAGTTATACTTTTTTATTATTTTATTATATAGAAACAGAATATCAAAACTCATTTCTATGCTACTGGTATTCGTTGGATTATCAATTTCACTGCACTTTTTTAGCATATGATATAATATGTGTATTACACACAGTTTTCAAAATGGTTGCAAGAAGATTGATGCAGAATTTGCAAGTATTGTGAAGCAAGAGGTTGTTTAAATGCACCTGGACTATTAATTGTTGATATGTGACACACTTAATTAATTAGTTTTAAGTAGCAATGCACAAACATTTAGTTGGAAGTCTGAAGTGATGGTAAAAGACAAGGAATTTTCTTGAGAGTGAAAATAAACGAGTTATTTAACATGTGAGATTTTCTGAATATATCACAATGGGAAATTCATATAAATCACCATAATCTATATAATAAATTTACTCAATTCACTAATGGGGGTAATTGGAAGATGGACATATTGTACATATACTTATGGTGAAAACTACATGATTGTATCTGTATAATTGGTTCTTTTGGGATTGAGAAGTTGTTTCACTGAAGTTTATTCCTCATCTTTCCAGTTTGGATCTGAAGTCTTAAATACATGCAGAAACTTTTGTGATCTCTTTAGCCCTATCATACCAACCTAATAAATTCCCCAGTGGTTGTATTGTCAGATATAAAATCCAGGTTGACATCAGGTGTTCTATCTAATAAATTTTTTATATCTGTCTTGGCTTTTGTAGACTGGTCTAACATGTCTTTGGTAAAGGCGCCTATCTGTGTCTTTACTGTTTGGTTCAATATTATGTCCAGTAGAACCCTTTCCAATTCTGGAATAGTTCTGTCTGCTAGATTTGTAGCAATACCATGCATTCTATTAATCTACAAAATATCATCTTTACCATGTTTGCTTATAACTTTATAATTTATCAAAAATTTGTATTGGTGAAAAAGGGCCTCTGTGGCTGAGTGGTATAAGAAGTCGAACTATTGTATCACTAGCCTGTCAAACACTGAGGTTGTGAGTTTGAATACGGTCGACTCCAATATTAATCTTAATTGACTAGAATTATCAGTTTTTCCTATCAAAGGTCGGTGGTTCTCTCAGAGCACTCCGACTTCCTCCACCAAAAAGAAAAACTGACCGCCACAAAATAGCACAATAGTGCTGAAATTGGTGTTAAACACCAATCAATCAATCAATCAATCAATATTTGTGAAAATCTTTCCTTGAAATGTTAACAAATAAGAATTTGATTGACATTTCTCCCTAGTCAATGACTCAAATGCAGAAGACAATGCAAACACTAGTTAGATTATTGGTCAACATATCCTTAATTTTTGTGAAAATTTTAAATCAAACAAACTTACTTCTAATTCCTGGCTTTTTGAATTTATAATAATTTTTACATGGGTCACCTCCTTAAATTCTAGGATTAGTAATTGTTTTCTTATGACATTATTATAATTATCCTTACTATACTAAATCAACATTAACAGATTTGAGAAATAAAAAGAAATTGTATTGATTTTCAGCTTTATGTATTTTGTGTTCAAAAAGCAAATTTGAGTTACTTCCCCTTATTCATTGCTATCACTGATTTGATTAGTAGCATTCATACTGTAAATAAAAAAGTGTATCCTTTCAATACCAAAACAGAAATGCAGTTGTGACTTGGTCACATGATACACCCTTACAGCATACTGTGGATTCATTTATTTTCGTGGGTATCAATTTTCGTGGATATAGAAAAAAAGACGTTTCGTGGTATACGTAAATTCGTGGATCGCTGATTACAAAAAAAAAAATCAGCTACGTAAATCGTGGATTTCTTTTTGATTTTGGAGATCATATAACCTCCTTGGTTTGATCAATAATAAAACAAATAAAAAAGAAGGAATTCATTGAACAAGTTTTGAATTGTCAAAATCCTCGCTTGGTCATTCTAGGTTAAAGTGTTCATTGAAAACTTCTTTTACAATAATGGACAGAGACAACTAATTATTTGTTTGTTTTACAATTTAAAGATTCTTGTCGGAATTTCATCAGGCATTCAAAATTCTATGATTGAAAGCTCAGTTCCCTAATCACGATGTAATAAACAGTCATATAAGTAAAAGGTGTGAAAATAAATGTTCCTGTCATAAACAATATTACCTACGGGCAATAACCCCGTACTTAATCCTATTGATTTTTAATCACCAGTAAACCAAACTATGACACGGTAATTAACAACTTGCAGTTATTTTCCATGAACAGTTTTAATCAATTTTAAAAAGTAAATTATCACTGATATTCGTTATATTAATTGTTGATTTAATCAAAATACTTGTATCTTCTTTCAATAAAAACACGTGTTATGTTACAATGTTTATCGCTAATCAACACTATACTAGAACTGCATAACATAACCGGAAATAAACATCCGACTCCATACACATTTCTCGGGATTATTCTTCGTTGAATTCTTAAATTTGTGGTTCGCTGTGACCCACGAAACCCACGAAAATTGCTAAACCACGAATAAAAATGAATCCACAGTATTGTAGCCTTTTCAAAATATCTATATATATTCAACTATCAGTTGACACTTACAGTTTTGAGAGCTTCTGTCAATGTTTTATTTACATCTTTAACTGCATCATTAAAGTCGTTGACTCCATCATCAGTCTTTTCATTTCCATACAAACCAATAGCAGCTGCAGCTCTAAAATTTTAAAGCATATAAAGAGCCATCAATCTACCAAGGGTTACTGTAACTGGATAAGGAATATTTGAAATAGTAAATACTAACATGATATGATTAATTTGGGTTCATTATGTTCATAAATGACACTCTAATAAAAAAGACAACAGACATATGATATGACAGACAGAAACTTTTAACATAAGGCATCTGCATACAAAATATGAAGCCTCCAGGTCTTCTACCTTCCGAAATATAAAGCTTAATACAAATAGTTTATGCCAACGCCAGATCGTAATCCCTATGTCTCACATTCTACGTCTTTTGTTGCAGAAGAGACGAAAAGCTGTAATGATCACAAAGATTACTAATCAAACTTTTTTGGCAAGCAGCATATCCATTTTTTCTTTTAAATTCAACTATTTCAAGTGGATAAATATCATTATAAACAGGGTACTGTAGAAGAATTTATTTATACATATGTATTTGTATTCTTTGGATCTTCATTCAGTTCACTGTCATCTATTTTACAAATACAACCTCCCCCCCCTCAAATGCTATCGTAAGGCTTTTATATGCACTTTTGGTATTGAATCATTCAATATAGGTAAAACAATATAAAAATAAAGAGATGTGGTATGATTGCCTATGAGACAACTATCCACCAAAGTTCAAATAAAATGGATGTAAGCAATAATCAACAATGAGAAAAACCCATACCATATAGTCGGCTAAAAAAGGCCCAGACATGAAAAATATGAAATAATTCAATTGAAAAATCTAACAGCCTAACTCATAACAAAACAATTTACGAACAACAAATATGACAGACATGAACCAATGACAACCACTGAACTACAGGCTCCTGACTTGGGACAGGCACATAAAGAATGTGGTGGGGTTAAACATGTTTGTGAGCGCTCAAGTCAGTTCTATGCGACTGTCATACAAGTGAGAAGTTAAGCTAGCTATAAAACTACGTTTAATCCATCATTTTCTACATAAGGAAATGCCTGTACCAAGTCAGGAATATGACAGTTGTTTTCCATTCGTCTGATGTGTTTAAGCTTTTTGATTAAGCCATTTGATAAAAGACTTTCCATTTTGAATTTTCCTTGGAGTTTGGTATTTTTTGTTATTTTACTTTTTACAATAAAAAAGAGTTCCTACCTATGTACCCTATTTTTTGCCAGGAGGAAACCCTAAGCACACACTTTGTTTGTTAGGCATAACAATTTAATCAGTAAAATTTTGAATATGCAACTGAGTGTGTATTTAAAGCATGCATGAATGCCCCAAAAATGTGAGCTTTTGTGTGGTCTGTTTGATAGTACATCAGTATTTGTCACCGACATACAATGTATAGTAACTGGAAAATCAATATACCAGTATGTTTTACCAATTGTTAATGACCTCTTACAATGTTGTTTTAGACTGCAGTTTTAAAAACTGCTATTAATACGGAAGTACACTGTTAATTAGGTATCATAATAACACAAATGATCAGATCCATCAATGATATCCAACTAGCTTCAAGTGTACTGCAAATATTCAGAAAATTGATGCAAGACAACATTTCTGCAGTGATGAGTTTGACAAACCTTATCTTGTTCCTCATTGAATTTTAAGCCTCATATCGTTTTACTTCTACTTGTCTGGGTTTGATGATAGGGAGTTTGGGGTAGGGGTAGATGAAATCAAAATTCTTTGAATATCTCATTATACCTGCAATATGGTCATGTTCTTTGGCATTATCTGGTATATTTTTACCTGTACCTGTGTTCTTGTTGCCCATAATAATTTTCATTGCTTATAAGTTCAAGTACTTTTACTAAACTGACTTTTAATTTATGTTCCTCTACAACAAATGTATGTTCCTTTTGTTAATCAACTGATGGAACATTAGAATGGGGAAAGTTTAGTCCTAAAAATTACTTTAAACCACCATATATTGATGAGTCTTTATGTTTTTGGTTTTCTTTTGTCATTTAAGGACTTTGGTGTTGATGACATAATACATGTATAAATTTGCAACCATTCCACATCTCCTTGTTGCAATTAAATCACATCTCTTTATTGTAATCCTCTCCTTGTTGCAATCAGACCACATCTCTTTAATGTAATCATCTCCTTATTGCAATCATACCACATCTCTTTATTGTAATCATCTCCTTATTGCAATCATACCACATCTCCTTATTGTAATCATACCTCATCTCCTTATTGTAATCATACCACATCTCCTTATTGTAATCATACCACATCTCCTTATTGTAATCATACCACATCTCCTAATTGTAATCATATTACATCGCCTTATTGTAAGCATACCACATCTCCTGATTGTAATCATACCACATCTCCTTTACTCATACCACACCTCCTTATTGTAATCAAACAACATCTCCTTTACTCATACCACATCTCATTATTGTAATCATACCACATCTCCTTATTGTAATCATACCAAATCTCCTTATTGTAATCATACCAAATCTCCTTATTGTAATCATACCACATCTCCTTATTGTAATCATACCATATATCCTTATTGTAATCATACCACATCTCATTATTGTAATAATACCACATCTCCTTATCATGCTTATTGTAATCATACCACATCTCCTTCATGTTATCATACCACATCTTTGTATTGTAATCATACCACATCTCCTTCTTGTAATCATACCACATCTCCTGATTGTAATCATACCACATCTCCTTTACTCATACCACATCTCCTTATTGTAATCAAACAACATCTCCTTTACTCATACCACATCTCATTATTGTAATCATACCACATCTCCTTATTGTAATCATACCAAATCTCCTTATTGTAATCATACCAAATCTCCTTATTGTAATCATACCACATCTCCTGATTGTAATCATACCATATATCCTTATTGTAATCATACCACATCTCATTATTGTAATAATACCACATCTCCTTATCATGCTTATTGTAATCATACCACATCTCCTTAATGTTATCATACCACATCTTTGTATTGTAATCATACCACATCTCCTTCTTGTAATCATACCACATTTCCTTATTGTAATCATACCACATCTCCTTATTGTAATCATACCACATCTCCTTGTTGCAATTAAATCACATCTCTTTATTGTAATCATCTCCTTATTGCAATCATACCACATCTCTTTATTGTAATCATCTCCTTATTGCAATCATACCACATCTCTTTATTGTAATCATCTCTTTATTGCAATCAAACCACATCCCTTTATTGTAATCATCTCCTTATTGCAATCATACCACATCTCCTTATTGTAATCATACCACATCTCCTTATTGTAATCATACCACATCTTCTTATTGTAATCATACCACATCTCCTTATTGTAATCATACCACATCTCCTTATTGTAATCATACCACATCTCCTTATTGTAATCATACAACATCTACTTATCTAAATCATACAAAATTTACTTATCTAAATCATACAACATCTCCTTATTCAAATCATACATCTCCTTATTCAAATCCTATAACATCTCCCTATCTAAATCATACAACATCTCCTTATTGTAATCATACAACATGATGGCTGAAATCTCCTTGTTGAAATCATCTTTATTTTTATAAAAACCAAATCCTGTAACTCACCAACAATCAATCACTGAGAGGTGGAGGCGTAAAAGTTTTATATCAATCAAAAAGGATAGAAAAAACTTACATGGCCACAAATATAATGATTCCAATGATACCAGCTGGACAACATGACTTCACTCTTTTCTGTGGTCTCTCTTTTTTGCATTGGTAACATGTACAACATAAACTGATTATCAAGAACAGCACAAACAGCACTACTGGTAATATGGCTAGGAATATGATTGACTGTAACATATAAAATAAAATTTTCAATAAAATTAAAATTTGAAAACTGGCATAAATTTTGTATTTGTATACCTGTATATCATTTTCAAGGTTTATTATTTTACTCTGACTGACATCTTTTTTGCTTTAATTGATATAATAACCTTTAGCAAAACAATCACTTATGGTCTGTAACATGAAATATTTTCTGTTAAGATGCTAAATAATAAAAGGTAAATATAATATTCAATTCAATGACACACAAACTCGAAATATATATAAAACTTACAAATATAGACTACAATCTGTTCCTACTTATTTAAATTCGGACATAAGGTTAAAGACCTTTAAGATAGTTTAAGTCGGTCAGAAGTGTAAATCAATGTAAAATGTGGCAATAACTTCAGTTAAATCATTGTAAAATGTGTCAATAACTTTAGTTGAGTAAATGTAAAATGTGTCAATCATTAGAGATCATCTTCACTAATATCCACCTACACACACTATTAAGTTCACTCCTGTTCCATACACACCATAGCTATATATAGGCAGCCCACTCCTGATCACTCAAATTTTTAGTTAAATCATATAAAGTATTTTATACAATTGAAGCTTGAATACATTTTTCTATTGTCAAAATCCAGCCATGGCAATAATTCTAAAATTAAATGTGTTAATCATTATTACACTTCATTGTTTCAGTGTCTCAGTTTTTAACAAGAAAAAAAAACGTGTACACTTGTATGAAAGAAAAGAAAAATGGATAACAGAGCTGAAAAAAGAAGTTTGATGTGTCTGTATGCCTAGATACCAATGTCGACTGTGATCATGAGATAATTAGCAATAACATTAACACCTGAAAATAAATCTATAGTAGCATGACTTTTAAATCTAATAGAAATGTGTCTATAGGTCTATAGGTCACAGAAAAATACATAGTTATATCACACAAATATCTAATTTCTTCAAACTGTTATTTAAGTCTTTCGTAAAAGTACTTTTGAGAAATTACTAATAAATTCAAACTGTCAAAAAAGAAAAAAAAGTTTAACCCAACACAATCCTATTCAGAAATAAAGGGGCAAAATATTATTGATATATATTAAGAATAAATAAAAAATCCTTCTTATATACAATCATACAGTGACTACTTACAAATTTAGCAAGTGAATAATAATAGATGAAATATGGTTTTAAAAACAAGAGGGATCTTCAATCTCATCAAAGGGTGACAGCCCAGGGGTAAGATGTAATAATTTCCTAGATAATCTACTTACTGTGAATTCATTATTATTTGTTGGATACCAATTTTTGTGGATTTCATGGGTACAGGTTAATTACAAATTTCAGTGTTCAACGAATTGCAAATTATTGATAGGCTTGTATGCAGACTTTGCCAAAAACCATGAAATCAAATATCCATGAAAGTATCAATTTTCCTCAATACACGATAGTTTGTACCCATGAAAATATATTAATCCACAGTATTGTTATTTTTCTAGGCAATGTCATTGTCATTGGCTTATGACAATATTGTGTTCTCTATACTTTACTGGACAGAGAAAAACCCATATTCGTTGAGTAGCTTGAAATGGAAAATGTGCACCCAAAAAGATCAATTTTTTAAATTAATAAGAAAGTAGAAATAATTATTTCAACTAAATAATAAACTAGATTTCTTTTTAATGGGCCAACTTGGATGTTTCTTGTAAAAAATTCCCTTTCAGGAAATTTTTGTTTTAATCATTTGTAAAAATGTTGTACATGTAGTACTAAGGTATGACTGATGCAAGTCTATTAAATTTAAAAAGCCTGAATTTTATTGCATGGTAGAAAATCCCAGGAAAAGTGCTTATTCACATGATACACCTAAATTAATTGTTTATGGTTAGCTACAATGTACTTAAGTGTACATGGTGTAAAGATTTATTCAGTGTGTATTTTAATTCACTGCAAGCAAGGTTTCCTTTTTTTTTTTTAATAACAGAATGACAACAATTTGCATCATGAGGATTCTGAGTAGATTGCAAATTTCTTTTTTTGAAACGCAGTACTGATTGAAATAAAAAAACAGATTTTTAAAATATTTTATCTCTATCATTTATTACAACATAATTAAAAATGTTTTAAAACCGGACAAAACACTTACATGTAACTCTAAAATAACTGTATAATAGGTACACTTGTACATGTAACAAACACTCATATATATTATTGTTGAACTAAAGTCATTATGGTGCTTCAAATTCGACAAAAAGATGAATAATGATGTTTTACATTGAACTGAAATGCTAATCTTTTATGAAACATCATCATGATCATCATGTGTGCAAAGAATTTTTTGAAAAGAAAAACTTTTAATTAATCCAAATCTACTGCTATTAAATCATTGTCTTCCCATACTTTAATTCGCTGTTTAATAACGACTTCACTTGTAACAAATCCAGCAATCACATTGTGTAAATGTGAAGGGAAAAACTGGGATTAAAAAAAGGAAAAAAAGGAAAAAAAAATCCCTCCCCGAAATTTTTTGAACCCCCTTATGATTCATCACCCCCAAACTCAATCCCAACCTTCCCTTTGTGGTATGGTACCTTGCAGTACAATTTCAGAGAGATCCATACACTTGAACACAAGTTATTGTCTGCAAACTAGAAAAATGCTTGTTTTTTGGCCCCTTTTTGGCCCCAAATTCCTAAACGTTTTGGGCAATTACCCCCAAACTCAAACCCAGCTTTCCCTTTGTGATATGGAACCTTATAGTACAATTTCATAAAGATCCATACACTTACACACAAGTTATTGTCCTGAAACTAGAAAAATGCTTGTTTTTTGCCCTTTTTTGGCCCCTTATTCCTAAACGTTTTGGGCAATTACACCCAAACTCAATTCCAGCTTTCCGTTTGTGATATGGAACCTTGTAGTACAATTTCAGAAAGATCCATACACTTACACATAAGTTATTATCATGAAACTAGAAAAATGCTTGTTTTTTGCCCCTTTTTTGGCCCCTAATTCCTAAAATTTTGTGGCAACTACCCCCAAAATCAATCCCAGCATTCCCTTTGTGATATGGAAACTTGTGGTATAATGTCAGAGAGATCCATACACTAACACACAAGTTATGTCTGGAAGTTACAAAAATGCTTATTTTTGGCCCCTAATTCCTTAACTGTTGGTACCATAACCCCCAAAATCAATCCCAACCTTCCTAGTGTGGTATTGAACCTTATCGTAAAATTTCATAGAGATCCATTCACTTAAACTAAAGTTGGAGTGTGAAAACCAATGTGTCTTCGGACGACGACAACGCCAACGTCATACCAATATACGACCGCAAATTTTTTTTGAAGTCGCATAAAAACAAATAAACATTGCACCATAATCGAAATTACATCTTACATATTGTACACCTATTAACCTTTACAAACATGCATGAGTATGTGTTGGGCCACCCTTCACAAATTTTTTGTTTGATGTTGCCTACCCATGATGCCATGTAGGGTTGGGTAGGTAGGTAGGCATTTTATTTTTTTTGTGGCCAACAACCATGACAACATAACATACATGTCAACTGACCCGTATTTTGAGGGTGTGACCTGTGAATTTACCAGCTCACCTGAGATTTTTCAATACCCATACGGTATTCTTGTGCCATATAACTTCCAATGTCTAAAAGGCTCAATTTTCCACTGAAAAATGGCAAATTCGAAATTCTTCCCATAATTTACTGTAAATTGAAAGATTTACAGCTATGGAAACATAATTTTGACTCTTGATTGAAAGGTAATTACAATTTGCTAATTATCTAGTTAATTGTACCCCAGAAAGGCTGAAGCCAGTCAAGCTTGACATACAATTTTATGTCCTGATTTATAAAATTTGCTGTTTGGAAATACAATGTATCAATTATCCTAGGCCACCCTTAAAAAAAATTTTGTTTGATGTTGCCTACCAATGTCTTTAAGGGTTGGGTAGGTAGGTGGGGGTTTTATTTTTCTTAGGCCAATAACATAAGCACATGTTTTAGACAAGAAAACGATGTAGAGCAGGAATATATTTTTTTTTTAAATGTTAAAACGATTTGTTTCATAAATTTTGTTTGGTAGGCTGTTTTTTAGGTGGGTATGGAGGCAACATAAAACAATTTTAAATTTTATTTTGGCCCTATTAAAATCTTTTTAAAACAATTTGAACCTCTTTATACATGTATCTGTTGCAGAGATACAAGTCCCTAAACTATTTCTAACCATTTATTTAAAGAATATAAGCATGTTAGGCAACAGTAACTTCTTCTTTCTCTTTATCTTTCTCCAGTGTATATAGGAGCACATTAGCTATAGCTGATTTCTTATTATAGTTGGGGTTTATAAAATTCATTAATGAAAATAGTGTGAATGAAACAATAAGAGGAAATTGTTTAATATAGATGATGATGGATGGTTGCTTAACGTCTAGCGGCAAATTAATATGCATATTCAGGACAAGAACATGTTAATGTACAATGTAATATGAATATTTACCCTGCTTTGTAATAGACCGACATGCTGAGATGGATTTTTAACGTGCTTGTTCACAAGGCAACAGTCCGCAGAAATACATGTCACCTTACCCGGACCCATTAATCCGACCCTGAGCCGACCAGTCTTTGCTCTTACTCCTTAATGCCATGTGCTAAGCGGAGAAGCAGCAAATACCAATTTTTAAGTCTTTGGTTTGACCCGGCCAGGGTTCCAACCCACGACCCCCCACACTCTAGGCGAACATGCTTCCACGAGACTACTGAGGGGGTGTTTTATATAGATATTTGATAAATAACAAATATTTAACAAATACAATGAAGTTAAAATGAGAGTATAATTTTAAATTCTAAATAATTTTCACAATGGTGAATATTTATAATAGTAGGAATAGAATATTAAAAAAACCTCTAAATACTAAAATTCAACTGAAAAAAAATTCATATACGTTATGACCTGACTTTTGCTTCCTCAATGCAGGTCTTGACCTGCATTTTCCGTTTCATGGGTTAACAGGTTTGCATAAGTTTTATATTTAAAGCGGCATTAGCTACAAGATATAAAAATAATTAAAATATGATTTTTTTGTTTGTTCAATCATTAATGAAAGTGAAATTGTAATTCGTTTTTAGCAGCCAGTTTGGTTCAATTTTGTCAAAATAAACTAAGAAACATCGCTTATGAATTATTCACTTGTAAGTGAATAATTAGACCTCATTGAATTCGTATTCATGTGAACTTCAATTTAACCCTTAAGTTAGAGATGGGTTACGCATAAACTCTAGGCGTGCCCAGCGATTAAAAGGAAAAGAATGTCAACATTGAAAGTGAAACAAGGGTTAAACACTTGGTTGACTGAATCAATCCACAAAGACTCTTTCTTATAAAGGTAAAATCGATGATTAACATGTTTTTTATCCTATAAATCGAACAGACCTAGAAAAAAATCAAATTGCACGTGTTCGCTTTCTATTTTTATCTATATTTGTGTTTATATCACGTTATACATGTATGACCGTCGGCAGTCTTCGGAGGTAACCTCAATGGTTAATCAGTTGGCGTCTATACTAAATTACACACGAAATGCTGATACATATCATCGAGTCCATGCATTGTAAATTGTTTATTTTAGACTTTTCATAATTTGGATATACATTTTAATACATGTATGCTATAAATAAAATATTAGAATTCAAGTCAAATCGGTGAACATGAATTTAAGACAAGAAAACGACATAAGAGCATAAACATTTTTTTTTGGGGGTAGGCTGCTTTTAAATACATATTACTCTGGCCTTTGTTAGTCTTGTATGTTTTTTTTTAATTTTAGTTCATTTACATGTTTCGGAGTTTAGTGTGACGTCCATTTTCACTGAACTAGTACACATTTTTGTTTAGGGGCCAGCTGAAGCCTGCCTCCGGGTGCGGGATTTGATCGCTGTGTTGAAGACCCATTGGTGGCCTTGGGCTGTTTTCTGCCCTTTGGTCGGGTTGTTGTCTCTTTGACACATTCCCAATTTCCATTCTCAATTTAATTTTATATTACATGTATATATATATAAATTAAAGACTGAAGCTCAAATAATGTTAAGGCTATATTATCATGATATTCATCAATTCTGTAAGATTATATTTTAAATGGGTGTAATCTATACAAAATTTCCAACAAATTGAGTGGGTGTGGGTGCTGAGAAGACTAATTTTATTTGGAATTGATCATAGTTAAAGATAATAGATTTGACAGCTTTACCAAAATCACTTATTTGTTTATTGTCTTTAGACTTTGAATACGGAGTAAAAGAGATGCCTTACTAATTAAATCAAATTAATTACTTTTTTGTTGATGCATGCTTTTGTTCATACAATGATTAGCCAGGTTTTTTTAAGCTTTCAGAAAAACAATTTGTTTCATTGCAAAATACTTTTAGTCAGATGCTACTTGATGATCCTTGAAGGTTAATTTTTGCGGGAAATTTCATATTCTTCCGATACAAATTTGCAGGATATCATATGCGTCTTAAGATGTTCTACAAAAAATCTTAGAAGGATTGGGTCGTAAAACTGGAAAGGGTTTTACAGACTACTGTGTTGTTGAAGGTTTTTCAGTTCCTTAGTAGTAACATATAATTAAATCTTGATTAAATGACTGGGTGCAATGAGAATCAGGGTTGAGCAATATTGGGATCAATATAGACATGATAAACGACTTTTGAATTTGTGCACTTTCCTGTAAAGTTCCTATGTCACAACGCTTATGTTATTAAGAACCAATTGTTCGATGACGTTGTTTATGCCCATTGATCTCGGGTCAACCTGTGTAATTTATTCATAAAAAAACAACTTGATATTGGCTATATAAAGAATCGAGGCAAAACAATTTACCCTGAGATTCATCAAGTGGTGCCTACCTCATATAAAAATAAGAGTAATTGTATGCCAGGAATTAAATGGTAAAAATTATCTAATTTAGACTTCTTTCTTAAAACTGTAACATCATAGCTAATATTACCTCTCTGTATTCAACATCATCTGGGTTAAATGTCGAATTATTAAGTTTAAAAGAGAAAGTAACATGAGGAAACGAGTGTAAAAAGTTTGTTATCCATTCTCGTTGGAACGAGTCCATTTTGAAATGTTCTTCTCTCTTGCGATATTATTCAGTGAAACTTGTTAATAACATTCCAAAGTTGAGAAATACTAAAACAGAACGGTCACTCTCATGAGACGTCCGCCATTTTGACTTTCGCAACTTGCGATCACGTGATTTAAAAAAATCTAGGAACTGAAGTATGTTCTAATAAAGGCAGCAGTAAGATAATGATATGTTTTAGTATTTACAACTTATAAAACTATTTTGAAACACTTCATATTATCAATAGTATTTTAACTGGTTTGTTTAGCTTGTAGCCTAGGACCAAGAAAAGGCAAGCCCAACAAACGTGACTCATTAATGACGTAAGCGGGTTTCCCTCGGCAGTGATAGGCATCCGTTTCTTCAACCTCACATTTGAAAACCCTTTTGAGGTTGCTTAGGACCAAGGCAGAAATTTGTGCATCAGCAGTTAACCAATTTAAGGATTATTTTTTACAGATCGATATGTGAATAGGCTATTGGCAAGCTTTCTACAGCATAATCATCATTTGATAGTAGAGCAAATTCCAGCGAGTCAAAGACCTTGGCCTAGAAAGTGATACACCTTGCAACTTCTGCAAAAGACAAAAATGTCAGGTATGCATCAAATATTTAGGATAAATGGATACATTTATTTAATAAAACAGCATTTATGATACCACAAATACATTTTTTTAATGCACTTGCATTTCGACATTATTGATAAATGTTTCAGACCTCCTCCAAAACTTCGATAGGTAAGTGACCCTAAACTTCTATGTCAAACCAATGATAAAAAATAAAATAAATTTATGTTATATATCAATATAAATAACCATCCATATAAATTTGCATTCATGCTTATGCAAATATTGATACCAATATTGGTTCATTCACACCTGCAATTAGTGATCATGCATGCCACATGTGTATATAGATATAAATATATAATGTAAAGAGAACAGTTATTTTATTCTATAACTATAAGCCACCAAACAGGTTGGGAATCATTTCAGTATAATATAAGTGACAACATAATGCAATTCAGTTTCAGAAGATTAATTTTTACTTCCCCAAAGCAACTAAATTTACATATACAATGTACCAGGTCTTTGCTTCAAGAATCATGCTAATTTTTTAGCATCGTTAATATAATTATGTATGATGCTGACCGGTAAGTTTGTTTGTCCTGTTTATGTGTTCATTTAATGCTATATTGAATTAATGAAAGGTCATCATGGTCATATCAGTCAAACAAAATTACCTTACTTATTGTACATGTACAAATGTATAAGAACCCTTTTGATATCTAGCATTGGTTGGTAACCTGTGTCACAGCAAAACTTTGCATCTACCAAACGCACCTTCTTTTTGCTTTGGAATCTAAATTAACCCTTGTTCATCCTAGTCAACCCAAACCACTTTACTGATCTTATATAATTGACTTTCTGTTTTAGTTGTGAACCTACATATATATTTATAATATAATGTTACTTTTCCTGAAAAAGAATCAAATATCTGTCACTGGCCATACATTGTACATGTAGCTAATGGATTTCAATTACGAAAGATCGAATGTTGAATATAAGAGGTGATATAAAGTATGATACCGATTGCCTTGCACATGTTTCTTGGATACCCTATCAACATACATATATACATGTACGTGAACAATATAGACCAAATGGATGTAAGCAAGTAGTTGAAGTAAAGCAACTATAACTTAAAAAAAGCCAATTAAAAAACATTCCAGAGAATATAATATATGTATATATATTTTACAAAAAAAAATTCTATTTAGGCCAAACAAACAAAAAATGAATGTTTACAGTTTAGGCTTTGTTTAAGGCAGCTTAACATTGTCACAGCAACTTGAAATTAGAACAAATATGTAATTAGGTGTGAACTTTACAATATACATACATAATATCAAATTTAAGGATTTAATCGAGGACAGGGCTTGTTGTCCTAGAGTCTGGAAAGTTTTTCACAACTAGAAGATTTCTGAAATTTTGTAACAAGAACAAGAAAGTCGATATCTTTAAATTTCAACTGTTCATTCATACTGGACATCACAACATAAACAAATCTTTATCAACGGTTTTCAGCGGTATGCAATTTCTTGCCTGTTTTTGTAGAAGCATTTACTGTGACTTGACTGTGCCTTTGTGGGTGTTGCTCTCCACCTATTGCAGTTTATTCAAAATTCTTCTCCAATTGCAAATTGTTTTATCAAACCAAACTTTTCAACTGGTCAGAAATTTTAACCAACTGCTGAAGAAAACCAGTCAAGCCATCAAAGTGCAAGGTGATAAAATAAAACATACATTTTTTGTACATAAATTAGGCCGTTAGTTTTCTCGTTTGAATTGTTTTACATTGTCATTTCGGGGCCATTTATAGCTGACTGTGCGGTATGAGCTTTGCTCATTGTTGAAGGCCGTACGGTGACCTATAGTTGTTAATTTCTGTGTCATTTGGCCTCTTGTGGAGAGTTGTCTCATTGGCAAACATACCACATCTTCTTTTTTATATTATAATCCTTTAAGACTGTAATTCCACTTTATTGCTAATATAAAAATTTAGCAAAAAATTTCCATACATCTAATGTTGAATTGTAAAGAGTCATTCAAAAGGTGAGAGGTACAAATGGACATGTAGAATTTTTGAATTGTTAACAAATATGTCCAAATTTAAGTTTAATTGAAGTTTTGAAGGAAGATAAAGATCAATGATTTTAGATTATCTCTGTTGGAAATCTATTAACAACATATTGTAATTAAGGTCTTTCCTTTCTTAATGGAAAGACCTTACTGTATTTCGTTTGTTTATTATTATTATTATTCTTTTTCCTCGTCCGATTTCAAAGTCAAAAGTCAAAAAAAGTACGCGACAGATCCAAATGATCTTTGGTATTAAGTATCGGGTTAATAAAATCTATCTTGTATTAGGGGCACCAAAGTGTACTATTTACCTTATAGGAGTTATCTCCCCAATTACAAAAATCATTGTTATCGCTACTCTTCATAAACTATAAGAGTTACCGGCAAATGGTTTTTTTTTAAATGTTCCTTGCCACATGTCGCAACTTTAAATAATTTTAACCAAAGCGATCCAGTGACTTCTTATAGGAGTTATTTCCCCTTGAATATTTTACTTTTCAATATGCATATAAATCTCATGAACCGTAAATTATAAAGACCTAGGGTCTTTTGATTTGAAATCATTGGACCATAATTTGAAAATATAGGTCAAGGTCAAATGTCAAGGTCATGTACAAAGAGGCAAATTATGTGTTTTTGGCACTATTTAAAGAGTTTGATGTGTGTTTTAATGCTTTTGTAGGTTGACATTGACCTTTAACCTTACTACTTGTTAAGTGATCTCTCAAAAGATTAATCCCATGTGTTAAGATATAGTATTTAGGCTTTCTATTCCGTTTTTGCATGATCAAAGTGAATCCGTTCTCTGTGTTAACCAACCAACCAACCAACCAACCAACCAATCAATCAATCAATCAATCAATCAATCAATCAATCAATCAATCAATCAGTCAGTCAATCAGTCAATCAATCATTGCATGCATGTTTCTGTCTCATGTGTTTAATATGGGGTCCAAGATCTCATTTGTTTCTTTTTCGCTTGTTTCAAGAGACCATATCCCACATGTTAAATTAACTAACCAACCAACCAACCAACCAACCAACCAATCAATCAATCAATCAATCAATCCATAAACCAACCAACCAACCAAGCAATGATTCATTCATTGTGTGCATGTTTCCGTCTCATGTGTTTAATACGGGGTCCAAATTTCCTTTGTTTCTTTTTTCGCTTGTTTCAAGAGACCCTATCCCACGTGTTTAATCAACCAACCAACCAATCAACAAATCAATCAATCAATCAACCAACCAATTAATTAATCAATCAATCAATAAACCAACCAACCAACCAACCAATCAATCATTCATTCATTGTATGCATGTTTCCGTCTCATGTGTTTAATATTGTATTTACATCTCTTCTGAAAAAAAAAAAATCCACATGCTTGTTATCAGATGTTCTGGGAAACTACATGTCCAATTGACCTTCAAAATTTGCATTTAGCAGGGTATACATGTATTACATCTTCATAAAACAATGTGGTGCAGATATCTTTCAAGAATTTTCCTAGAGAAAAGAAAATGCAATGCCGTAAAAATCGCTTGCTAGCTCCGTAAATCTCAGTGAAATCCTACAATAAAATGTCCGCTCCTAGATTGAAATACAAATCTATGTTACAAACTGCTGCTGAAAAATGTACATTGTATGAAAATAATCGATAAACGTGTTTTAAAGTTACACAGGATCAATTAAATCCAAAGCATGCACTGCTCGTGAACTGTGATCGAAACGTCAATTACCTACAATGACAAAAGAAATACATTGTGTAAATTCCATCGCTATACATGTTGTCTGTCCAACGTCCCCACCTAAAAAGAAATAAAAATACTAAGTTTTCGCTATTATAAAGCTTCGTCACGTGACGCCACAATCTGGCGCGAGACAAAGACGCGCTCGGGACCTAAAATAGAATAAAAACTTTCCAAACTAAATATAGAAACTTAACCAACACACTAATATGGACCCTTTAAAGAAAGAAACAAACAAACACACACACACACACACATATCAATCAATCATGTTTCAGAAGGGGGGAAAGACCGTTTACAATTGCTTTTTTAAAGCAATTGATTTATATTTTTAGATATATTTTACTAATTATAACGTGTTTTAATTCAAACGAATTTTTATGAATATAGGAGACTTTTAAAAGAAAAAAAGTATGAAAGCTAAGTTTGGAAATTTTACTAGCAATTAAAAAATTACTAACTCTCGCTTTTCAAATGAGTGGAAAATATTACCATTTTTGGACCCTTGATGTTGTCCAATGGACACATTGTTGTTAAAATATATGTTGCAGAACAAATTTGAATTCAGTTGTCAGAATCCTACTGATCAACGAGTTGCGGAGGGTATAATGTTTTTGACCTGTCTGTCCGTTCGTCCGTCCGTCTGGCTGTCCGTCAGTCCGTCAGTCCTGTTTCTTGTCATCGCAACTCCTCTCAAACCACACAACAGAATTTCACGAAACCTTTTTAGATAATAAGGACATACTATGTAGTTGTGC